ATGGGGTTGTTGGCAGGATTTAGTTCCTTGTGGTTGCAGGATGAGGGCTTCATTTTCTTTCTGGCTGTTGGCGGCAAGCCACCCTCAGCTCCTTGCCACGTGGATCTCCCCGACATGGCCACTTGGTTCATCAAAGCCTGCAAGACAGAGTCTCTCAACAAGATGGGCATTATAATCGAATGTAATGTAATCATGTAAAGTGATCAGGTACAGCCCATCACCTTTGCCCAAGTCTATTGGTTAGAAGCAAGTCGCAGGCCCGCCCACACTCATGGGGAGAGGCGAGACCACCAGAAGGCAGGTCATGGCCGCCATCTTGGAATCTGTCTGCCACAGGCGTTAATTCCACCTCTCAGGGGCTGACAAGCTCTCAGATTATGCTTAATGAGCCACTTTCCAAGTACGCAGTGTGTCGTGGGCCACCCAGGGGTGAAGCCACTGCCCAAAAGAGAGCAAGCCACAAGCAGAAGGAGAAGGCCACTTCACCGGCCACCTGTGTTGTGACACCTGGGCAAACTCTGGTACTCACATTTGTAAATCCTCTTCAACATCAAAGAATTAGTGATGACGTGTCAGGGATGGCCTTCAGCAAGGATCGACCAGTGTTTCTAAAGGGCCAGAGAGTAAGTATTGTTGGCTTCTGGGCCAGATTGGTCTCTTTTGTGACTACTCAACTCTGCCATTGCATCGTGAAGGCAGCCAAAGATAGTATGTACCACAGGGTTTCTCAAGCTCGGCACCATTGACATCTTGGGCTGGATCATTCTCTGCAGTGGGACGGGGGTCCTGGGCACTGCGGGGGGTTGAGCAGCATCCTGGCCCCCACCCACTCGATGCCCCCCCAGTGTGACAACCACAGATGTCCCCAGACATCATCCCATGTCACATGGGAGGCAAAATCATCCCAATTGAGAACCACTGATGTCATCAAGTGGGTATATCTATGTTTCAATAAAACTTTATTTATAAAAACAAGTGTGGGGCCGGCCAACCCCTTGAGTAGACATTTACCTTTAAAATGAGGTCAGTATGCACTGGGCTGTCTTTTGCCCCTCTTGGCTTTCTGCGTGGCTGACTTTATTTACAGTAACAGGTGAGTCTGCTGAAAACAGGACCCTCATACAAAGTGTAGGAAGGTGTCGCCGACCACAGTGCATTTAGGACATGGTCTGACTGTGTTATATTAACACACTGAGGACACCTGAGAAGCCGAAATGCGATACTGGAGACTACTGCACAGACTGTATTCCTTCAACAAATATTTAAAGCGTCTTGTGGGTGCTCTGTGCTGAGGGTCCTCTTGGGAGATGGACGGACATGGGGTCACAGGGAAGAAGCAGTGGCAGAGAGGACGCTCCATCAACGTGATAGAGGAGAGCCTGTAACTGGGGGTGCAGGAGGCCAGGAGGGCTTCCCAGAGGAGGCGACATTCACCTGACCAAGAGTGGTGGCCACAGTGTAAGAGAAGGCTGCTGCAGACACCCCATGAATGGAGATGGAGGGGACGATGGTGGGGAGGATTCGACTGACACCCCCAAGACCCACCACCCCAGTCTACCCATGATAAGAACACCAGAAAAACCACAATAGAGGGGTGATCCCCAAAATATCAAGACTTCCCGGGGGCATTGAAAACAAGAAAGTCTGAGAAACTGTCTCAGCCCAGAGGGGCCTAAGGAGACGTGACGACTGAATGTCACGTGGGGTCCTGATGGGTCCTGGGCAGAGAAGGGCATCAGGGGAAACCAAGGAATCTGAATAGGGTGTGGATTTGGTTAATCATAATGGATCAATATTGGTTCATGAATTGTGACGAATGTACTGTGCTAATGTAAGATGTTAGCAACAGGGGAAGCCGGGTGCCCAGTGTATGGGAATTCTCCATAATAGTGTCTCAGTCCACTCGGGCAGCTGTAACAAAATATCTCAGACCGGGGGTCTCGGTTACTGTCTCGGTCCTGGAGGCTGGAAGGCCCAGATCAGGGTGTCAGCAGGCTCTGTTCCTGGGGAGGGCTCCCTTCCTGGCCTGCAGACGGCCGCCTTCTCACTGAATCCTCACATGGCCTTTCCTCTGTGCTCACGGAGAGGGAAAGCTCTCTGGTGTCTCTTCTTCTGAGAATACGAATCCCATCAGATCAGGGCCCCACTCATGACCTCAGTTAACCTTAATCACTACCCCAAAAGCCCTATTTCCCAAAACAGTCACATCTGGGGTTAGGGCTTCAACACGTAAATTTGAGGGGGACACAATTCGGTGCATAGCAACTACCTTCTCAATTTTTCTGTACATCTAAAACTGTTCTAAAAAGAGAAGTCTACTTTAGAACCCAAACCAAAATGCTTAACGTTAGGCTGGTGTTGGGTGGGGAGATGGTGCCGTCTGGGTTCCTAGTGCTGTGGGAGGGACTGGGTGGGGGATGAGGGAACCTTCTGAACAAACACAGCCCAGCAGCGTCAGCACCATGGACAGGTTGTTAGAAATGAGGAATCTCCATCTTACCCCTGCCGACCCAGAGTCTGCATTTTAACACGATTCTCGAGAATTCATAGACACGTTGGAGTCTGAGAAGCCCTGGCCTGGATCACAGTCCCTCCCCTGGAGTTCACCCAATGCAGAGGGGCCGATGTGGGCGTGGGGGGTCCCCCTGAATAAATTCCGGCTCCAGGAATGTAAGAAATGGAGAAGGAGCGGGTGGAGAGGGGAGGTGGTGGCTTCTGGTAGACTTGGTGAAACTGAGGTGCCAACGAGATCTCGACCCTTCAATCATCAGCCTTTTCACCTGCTGTGCGCCAGGCACGTTCTAGGCATCCCATGTAGGAGGGATAGCACGGCAGACGGTGCCCACTGAGGGCACACTGGAGCGGGCTCCCATTGCCTTTGGAGACCCGATTGCTAAATTCTTGGGAATTTTGCAAGCTGGTTATTAAACTCAGACGTTATCAAAGATTAAGTTATATAAACTCACAATTCAAAAACTATTACAAAGGAAGGTGCTAAGCACGCCAAACTCACCACTTCCTACTTATTTTCTTACATTTTACAACTATCTACCCCCTGCGGGGGGTGCAACTACAGCCCTTGAACCAAATCTGGGCTGCCACCTGTATCTACCCAGCCCACGAGCTCAGTAATTTTTGCGTTTTAAATGGTGGAAAGAGAGTCAAAAAGAGAATGATATTTGTGAGGTGTGAATAGTATATGGGATTCGCATTTCAGTGTCCATAAATAAAGTGTGATGGGAACCCAGGCACATCCAGTTGTTTGCACACTGGCTACAACACGTGTAGTTCCTGTCACATGTGGAGTCCAGTCATTGTGACCTAGACTGGACGGCTCAAAAAGATGAAAATGTCTACTATCTGGTCCTTTATAGAAAAAGTGTGCTGAGCTCTGGTCCATGTTCATGGGGTTATTTACATCTGCCGTATCTGTATGATGGAAAGTTTATACGACGGTTCTGTGGAGGTTAATTAAAGAAACCTTAACTAAACTGGAGTCGGGAAGGCCTGTAGGGGGAGCTCTCACCCCCATCACATCATCAGTTACACCAAACAGGAAGACAGGATGCTTGCGTCTCAGACAGGAGGCAAAGCTACTTTACTACTGAAGGAAGATTTCTCTCCCCACCTGGCAACAGCCCAGCCAATGAGAAACGCTGCAGCTCAGCCAATGAGAAAGGCCACAGCCCAGCCAATGAGAAACGCTGCCGCTCAGCCAATGAGAAAGGCTGCATCTCAGCCAATGAGAAGCTGTTTCTGCCCTGAACTGCTACTTTCCCCCAATAGACTCACTCAGAACAGCCCCGCCCATTCCCCTTTCTTCTCTATAAAAGCAGCTCCCCTCCTTTGTTCTCTGGATTTGTCTATGGTTTGCCTAGCGTGCACGTCCTGAACTGCAGTTCTTTTGGCTATTCCCCAATAAACTCATCTGGAGGTTTTTCAAGTCAACTGTTCACACAGTGCGCCTCATCCCAACTCTGTGCAATGGTGTCATGCGGGTAGCTAGAAATCAGCCACAGTGGGAGTATTTACACCACGGAAATCAGCAGATGCTACCGATGGGGCCTCCTCCCTCCACCGAAGAGCCAGTTGTTAAGCATTTACCAGCACACCACTGGTTCTGACTCTCGTGGAGTTGAGACCCTAGTGAGAATAAATACATGATATATTGTCAAGAGAGGGATGAGGGAGACCTGTCCCTCCAGCGGGGATGCTGGTGGCTGTGAATGGTCATAGAGAGAGAGTACGAGAGCCACAGGGGACACCAGGGGCATCAGAGCTAGAAACAAGTCAGGCTCCATCTTGTTCTCTCTACATCAATGTATTCTATTCTACAGCAGGCTGAATAACAGCCCCCAAAGGTTTCTATGTCCTAGTCCCTGGAACCTGTGAATATGTCTCCTTATGTGGCAGACAGGACTTTGCAGATGGGATTAAGTTAACGCCCCTCAGATGGGGGATGACCCTGGATTCCCAGGGGCCCAGTGTCATCACAGGGTCCTCATCAGAGGGAAGAGGAGGGTGAGAGGCAGAGAGAGATGGGAGATGCTGTGCTGCTGGCTGTGCAGATGGAGGAAGGGGCCCTGAGCCCAGGACGCGGCGCCTCTAGAAGCTGGAAAAGGCAGGACACGATTCTCCCTGGAGCCTCCGGGAGGAACATAGCTCTTCATTTTAGACTTCTGACCTCTAGAACTGTAAGATAATAAATGCGTGTCCTTTAAGCCACTAGGTTTGCCGTAATCTGTTACAGCAGCCCTAGGAAGCTTGTACCTTCTTTCTAGCAATGGACCCTGGTGACCCACCAGCCCAGCCAGCACTCGTGTTGAATCTATCTTTTATGACTGTTGTGAGTGGAGTCCGCTGGCGCCGGGCGCTGTTGATGGCTTCACGTCCACACAAGAAGACCCTTGCTTAGGGGAAGAGAAACACACTCTGCTCTGACCCAGTTTTCTCTCCCTTTTTTGCTGGCATCCAGGTCGCCATCCCCGTGTCTGGGAGCCATGGAGCGCACCATGGGTGACTTACAGCTCATGCCCGGGGCCACAAAGGAAGTCCCTGCTCCAGACACCGCATGCTGCCGAGTGGCCCTCTCTGCTATTGTGGCCACCAGCATCGTCATCGTCACCCTGGGAGTCCTTGTGGGTGAGTGGCCATGGGCTTGCATGGGTTCATACCCCAGGCGACTTGCACAAAGATGCTCAGCAGTGGCTCAGTGGTGTCTGCGTGATCCCAGAGCCAGAGGGCTGAGCGTGCAAGCGTAGGATGGAAGGCCGGCCTTCAGGCCCCTGAAGAGATGACACAAGCAGGCCAGGTGTGCGGTACAGCGTGCACTCAGTTCCCGTCTGGGCAGGTGGGCACCTGGGCGGGGGACTTAATACCTGTGTATTTCAGGTTTCCCACTGACGGGCTGAAATGGAGACAATTAGGGACAGAGAAATGAACTTTTTAAAAATCTTGAGAAAGTTGAAAAGTACCAAAAACTATAAAAAAATGAACAATCGTTTCTATTCCCATTGCCCGCAATCAACAGTGGCTCCCATTTCGTATTTGTTTCCAGCATATTTTCATGTTATTCAAGGTGAACCGTACAAAATTATGACCCGTCTATATGATGTGGGGCTGCAGTTATAAACACAAACAAACGAAGCTCTTTTCATGTTTGAATAGAACGATCGACAGATACCCACGAACTGTGAGGAGTCCCGTATCCTGCCCTCCATCGATTCTGTCCCAGACGGGAGCCCCCAGCCCCAGCGGCTATCTAGAGTTAAATCAACTAAAATTAAATAACACTTAAAACTCGATTCCTCAGTCCCTAATAGCCACATTTCCGTGGCTCGTGGCTACTGTAGTGGACCGCGCAGATCTAGAACATTCCATCTTTACGGGAAGTTCTGCGGGGCATCTCTGCTTATTCTGAGATGATGAGCTTCCTACGGTTTTGTTTGGGATGTGAAAGTCACCTTTCTTTTATGAAATCGTGACAGGAAATGGCAGCTTGCGGGGGAGCTCTCATGTGGAAAAGTAATAAGTTGGCAATAGTATGTGGAGCCCTAATTTATATATATCTCCACATTCCAGATGTGGAGCATCTGGAATAGCTTGCAGCCTGGCACGTCTGACGGAGGCCCCCTAGTGGCTGCGGGAGTGAAGTGCAGAAAAATGGGGCTCTGCGTGCAAGTGTGCAGGAGTGTGTTCTGTGTGCGCTGTGTGTATGTGAGTGGGTGCATGTGTGCGTGGGTGTGCGTCGTGCATGGGTGTATGTGGACGTGTGCATATGTGTGTTGCGTGTGCATATGTGTGATCATGTGTGTGCACATCTGTATGCGTGTGCACATGTATGAGTGTATGTGATTGTGAGTGTGCGTGTGTGGGCGTGTGTGTGCATGTCCTCACACCAGGGAGAGGCGGTGCAGGGTTTCACGCCTGCGTTCTAGAAGCACAGACACATTTTGGGCACAACAGATAACTATAACCCCCAGCAGGATCCCTGAAACTAAGGAAGGCTTTAAGAGGCACTTACATTTTTAAAAAATTTTCTTTAGCTGAAACAGAAACGTATCCCCTCCCAGACAACTGGAATTTCAGTTAGAGAGGTTAGCCTTCGGGAAGCCAGGGGAGGCCCGGGACCTGTCTGTGCTCTTCATCCAACTCCTGGGCGCCCACGATTATTTCACGGGAAACACACGAGGGCTCAGCTGGGGTCTGGAGTGTAGACAACTGGTCCACACAACGGGGTGCTCGGTTTCTTTCTTTTTCATTTCTTTTTTTTTTTTTTTTTTTTTAAAGATTTTATTTATTTTATTTTTTCCCCCCAAAGCCCCAGTGGATAGTTGTGTGTCGCAGCTGCACATCCTTCTAGTTGCTGTATGTGGGACTCGGCCTCAGGATGAATGGAGAAGTGGTGCCTCGATGCGCACCCGGGATCCGAACCCGGGCCGCCAGCATCGCAGCGCGCGCACTTAACCACCAAGCCACAGGGCCGGCCCAGTCTTTTTCATTTCTTGAATGAGAAAATAAACCGTTTTTGGAATCGGCTTAGAATATTTATTCTATTGAATAAATGAATACCTAAGTATCTGTCCAATAATGAACATTCACTAGAATCGGGACCCAGCCCTCACCGGTTATGTGGCTGCTCTCATATTCTTTACTTTAAAGCCTTCGATGACTGTTATTCTTTGCCATTGTGAACTGACAGCTGGAAGCTCGTGTTGTCACGGAGGGTGGCGTCTGGGGGCGGTGGCCCGGGGCCCCGATGCCCGGGCTGTGTCCTGGCCTTTCGGGATGTGGTGCCCCGTCCCCAGGGGGGAGGCGGGGATTGTTGTTCCAAAGCGCAGGGAAGGTCTCCTGAGGCCATTCCAGCCGTTTCGGCTGACGGTGGCTCCAGGCCCGTCCAGTGAGACCAGGATGAGCAGGAGCCAGTCCCACCCTCAAGTAAATCCTGGGACATGTGGGGCCTTGTGCTCTGCCTGGGACCTTCAGGTGGGTGACTATGAGAGCTGAAAAGGGAGCACCATTAATAGTCACTCAGGAAGGCAGCCCACCCTGTCTGTCAGGGTGACCGGCCCTGGGTGGGGGGCCCTGAGCCCCGACCCTGGAGCTGGGCTCTCTCACGGGGCCCTGGTCTCGCCCGCAGCCTCCCTCTCTACACAGGGCGTCGAGGTGGAGCACACGGCCCAGCTGGGGGGCATCCGCTACGCACCCAGCCTGCAGAGGGACACCTCCGCCTTCTACCGCGCGCTCACGCCCGCCCTGGAGATGCTGGTGAGGGGCCTCGACCCACAGGAGCTCCCTGTGCCCGGGCCAGCAGAGCAGAGCAGGGGGCGGTCGGGGGGTGGGGGGCCTGGGACCAGGAGGACGAGGCTGCTGTGGCCGGGGCTGGTGCATTCTAGAACGCAGGGGCGAGTAGCATCCAGTGGAAACTGACTCCTGCGGGATTTGTGGGCCATGTTCATAGGCTGTAAACTGTATTCCAGTGGAGAAATCAGACCCCTCGTACACGGCTGGTGGGAACGTGAGATGGGGCAGCCACTGTGGGAAACAGTCCGGTGGGTCCTCAAATGGTTACACATAGAGTTTTCATCTGACCCAGCAATTCCACTCCTAGGTGTCCGCGCAAGAGAAATGCAAACACATGTCCACATAGAAACTTGTGCGTGAATGTCCACAGCAGCGTGATTCCCAACAGCCAAGAGGTGGACACGATCCGAGTGTCCATCAACAGACAAACGTGGTCCACCTACACACTGGAATATGACGCAGCCATGAAAAGGAGTGAGGCCCTGACACAGCCACACCATGGACGGACCCTGAACACACGACGCTCAGTGAGAGAACCAGACACAGAAGGACACAGTGTGTGATCCCATTGATGTGAAATGTCCAGAACAGGCACATCCACAGACAGAGAGTGGGTTCCTGGCTGTCAGGGGCTGGGGGATGACTACTAATGGATACAAGGCTTCTTTTTGGGGTGATGGAATGTTCTAGAATTAGAGGCGGCGGTTGCACAACTCTGTGAATACACTAAAGCCCATCTATCGCACACTTTTAAAAGGTGAGTTTTTATGGCAGGTGAATGATATCTCAATTTTTAAAAATTGTTTTAAATTTTATTCTAAGAGAAACGGATGGGTGACAAGATGAGAATTCGTGTTTTGCCAAGAGCACTCTGCCTGCAGCCCAGACAGTGAATAATAAGATATGAGAAAAGGAAGGAGACAGTTAGGTCACCGTCATCTAGACCAGGGGACAGCAAACTTCCCGTAAGGCCGGAGAGACACTATTTTCCACTTTTCAGGACCGGACAGTCTCCGTCTTGACTCCTCAGCTCTGCCATTGTAGCCAGAAAGCCGCCATATGAGACACGTGAATGAACAGTGTGGCTGTGTGCCAATAAGACTTTATTTACGGACACCGAAATCTGCATTTCATCTCATCTTCGTGTGCCATGAAATGTTATTTTTCTTTTGATTTTTCACATCCACTTAAAAACGTAAAAACCATTTTTAGTTGGTGACTGTACAGAAATGGGCAGTGTGATTTGAGTTCGGCCCACGGGCCGGAGTTTGCTGACTCAATCCTATACCCCAAGGCTGCACCGTCCAGTAGAAATACAACACAAGCCCCACGTGTAATTTAAAATTTTTTAGTAGCCACATTAACGGGAAAAAAGGTAAGATGAATTTTAATAATATATTTTATTTAAGCCAGAATATCCAAAATATTATCCTGTCAACATGTCGTCTGCATAAATAAAGCAGGAATCGACGAGATATTTCACATTCTTTTCTTTGTATGGAGTCTTCAAAATCCAATGTGTATGTTACACCCACATCTCAATCCGGACGCTAAATTTCCATCAGGAATATTCGATCCATATTTAGATTCCACGACATTTACATACTCAAGTGGCTCCAAACACACTTAAGAGTTTTCCGGTAACTGAATTGAGTATCCGCTTTGAAATTTAAGCATGAATTAATTAAAATTAAATAGAATGTAAAAATCACGTCCTCTGTGGCACCAGCCACGTTTCAAATGCTCAGTAGCCACGTGTGGCTGGCGGCTGCCATATGGGGTGGGGCGGGTGTAGAACGTTCTGGAAATTTGTGGAATGTTCTATGGGACAGTGAAGGTCTACACGGCAGGCAATGGGGGCGTGGACTCAGAGAAGCAGATTGGAATAAGGGAGTTTTAGGAGGAAGAATCGAAAAGCATGACGTCACGTGGTAAGGGAGCAGAGATGGTGACCATAAAATTTAGGACACTTCTGACAGTGAACGGGGACGCTGTTGGTAATTACACTGGGAGAGCAGATAAATGGGAACACGTGGTCACCCTTCTTATAGGTGACATGAGGTGCCAGGGGCGACCCGGGACCCCCAGCCTTGATGTTGCTGGGGGCAGCACGTGGAGCACCAACATCCCAGTTAGTACAGTCACAAAGTTATGCAACCACCACCTCTAGCTAATTCTAGAAGATTCCATCACCCCAAAAAGAAGCCCCATCCCCATTAGCAGTCACTCCCCCTCCCCCAGCCCCTGACAACCACGAACCCACTTCCTGTCTGTGGATCTGCCTGTTCTGGACATTTCACATCAATGGAATCACACACTGTGTCCTTCTGTGTCTGGTTCTCTCACTGAGCGTCGTGTGTTCAAGGCCCATCCACGGTGTGGCTGTGTCAGGGCTTCACACCTTTTTTTGTGTGTATGAGGAAGATCAGCCCTGTGCTAACATCTGCCAATCTTCCTCTTTTTTTGGCTGAGGAAGACTGGCCCTGGGCTAACATCCGTGCCCATCTTCCTCCACTTTATATCCGGGATCCGAACCTGCAAACCCCGGGCCGCCACAGTGGAGCTTGCGCACTTAACCACCTGCACCACTGGGCTGGTCCCTAGGGCTTCACTCCTTTTTATGGCTGAGTAATATTCCAGTGTGTGGATGGACCATGTTTTATCCATCCATCCATTGATGGAGCGATATTTTCACACGAATAATTTGGAAATGCCCTCTCCCTGTCATTGATACAGCTCTGTGACCCGCTGCACGAATTGAGTCTAAGAGGAGATGCTTTTCCGTAGAACACGAGTTCTCCAGCTCCCCGCACACACAACAGGGCTCCACGGGGACGGGAGCCCGTGCTGCGGTCTCAACATTTGCTGCTGTGTTTCCGTTGCAGTTTGTGAGCAGCTTTCAGAAGACAGAGCTGGAGGCCAGCTGTGTGGGCTGCACGGTGCTAAGTTACCGGTGAGTCGGGGCCTCCTTGGGGTGCATGAACCTTGGTGGAGACGTGAGAGATTCTGGAAGATTCCAGCAGGGAGGAGCCCTCCCTCTCCAAGGGCCTCCTCTCTCCTACCTGCAGGGATGGGAACTCGAGCATCCTCGTGCATTTCCGGCTTCACTTTCTGCTGCAAGCCCTCGGGACGCTGAGCCTGGGCCTGGAGGAGGAGCTGTTGCAACGGGGACTCAGCTCGAGGCTGTGGGGACACGGCCTCCCCGTGGCCGACTACGGCACCATTGTGTCCGCCCAGCTCGTAGGCAAGTAGCTTATGGAGACTGAAACATGGAGGAGGTTGGAGGGATGCGTTGTGGGAGGGAAGCAGCTGAAAGTTCCATTAAACTTTAGGTTTTCAATAATTGCCCCCTCCTGTGAAAAGAACACGCGCACATTGCTTTCCACTCAGTGATAAAACCAGGCGTCGGCAACTGTAAATGCCCAGAGTGTAAATATTTTCCTCTTTGCAGCCCATAGGGTCTCTGTCCTGACCGCTCAACTCTGGTAGCACGAAAGTACCAGAGACAATACAGAAATGAATGGGCATGGCCGTGTATCGATAAAACTTTATTTACAAAAACAAGTGGAGGGCCAGATTAGGCCCATGGCCATAGTTTGCTGGCTTCTCATATATAAATAAGAGTACTTGATCTAAGTCAGAATTTAAGAGGCGCCCGAGGTGGCCAGCGCAGCTCTCTGCTTTGCAACACAATGTTCTCTAAGAACTTCGCCGCTGGGTGACCGAGCTCATATCTCTTCTCCATTCCACCACAGGAAGCCAGAAGGGGCCGATGACAGAAAGAGACTTAAAATCAGGTATGTTTTTCTCTCTCCGGTGAGCAGCTTGCTCTCTGCCAGATTTTCTCGAGAAGTTTCCTAAGATTTCTTTCAGGTACACAGAGCAATCCCTAGAAAGCAGTAAATGCTAGTTTTGTGCACCAGCCTCCTGCGGGAGAGATGGATTCGTAGTCCTGTGCGGGCAAAGAATCTAAAGATGAGACGCCGAATTATATACACATGGCCAAGCATGATTAAGAGAAAACATTATTGGGTTTTTTTTTTAAGTGGTGAAAACCTGTTGTTAAAAGACAACAAACAAACAAAACAAAAAAACAAACAGTTTGGGAAAAAGGAAAATGTGCCATCTGGAATCTCATTGCTGTTAATATTTTCCAGACAGCTCACAACACATTTATAGATAAATTTATTTAGCTTTACATCAATGGCTCTCAACTAGGGGGGATCCTTCCCCCCAGGGGACACTGCGCCATGTCTGGGGACATCTGTGGGTGTCACACTGGGGGTGTTCCTGGCATCAAGTGGGTGGGGCCAGGGATGCTGCTCAACCCCCCACAGCCTCCAGGACGGCCCCCCACAGAGAGTGACCTGGCCCCAAATGTGAACTTAAAATAGTTAAGATGGTGAATTTTATGTTATATGTATTTTTCCACAATTAAAAAAATTTAATTTCACCCATTTCTTACTTTTTTTGAACACGGCTACTAGAACATTTGGAAGTCCACACATGGTGTACATAGACTTCTGTCGCACAGCCCTGGCCTCAGCGCTGACTGACATTCTCGTGTTGTGTCTCTGTATTAATTCTGAGAAAATTATTTCAGAAATATTCAGAGGCAAGAAAGCAGAGACGAGATGTTTTCCAGGCTCTGGAGGTTCCGAGTGGAGAGCGGAGTCCCCCTCCAGCCAGGAGAGACGGAGCGAAGTCAGGAGCTCGTTCTTCTCTGTCCTCAGGTCGCTGTCCAGGGAACACCTTTTCCTGCGGGAACAGCCAGTGTGTCACCAAAGTGAACCCCGAATGCGACGACAGAGTGGACTGCTCCGACGGATCTGACGAGGCCCACTGTGGTCAGTCTGCCTCCCTGGCCTGGTCTCCGGGCCACGTCCCCTTTCCAGGGTCAGCTGCATACATGGGCCTGGCATTCTCTAGAAATGGGCAGAGGAAAGGGAGGGGGCAGCCATGATATGGCAAGAAACATGAGCAGCAAACACAGAAAGGGAGACCGCATGGTGTGTGGAGTGGATAGCCCTTGATTGAGTAGGGAAAAGAAAGGCTGAATAGGTAGATCCTGGCCAAACCATGGGAAGCCTTGCGTGCCAGCCTCTGGAGCTCTGTCCCATGTCTGGCGGGGAGCCGCCTAAGGGATCTGAGCAAGGGAATTTCACAATTAAAATGCTGTAAGAGGAGTCAGCGTTTTCCTAGCAATGCTAGCCAATGCAATAAGGTAAGAACAGTGGTTTGAGTCTCGGGAAGGAAGAGGGAAAATGATCATGATTTGCAGTGGATAGGATTGTCTCTCTAAATGAAACGATAAATTGACTAACCAGCTACTAGAAAAATAAGACGGTTCGACAATGAGGGGAAGATAAGATAAATAACGACACATAAAAAAGCTACTGTTTTGCTTTATACACGTAGTAATAGGTTAGAAGATATAATGGAAAAAATCCCACTCATGACCGATAGGAATAAGGAACAAAATAAACATGTGTCAGGCGTATAAGAATAATCATCTATAATTACAAAACTTTCCTGAAGGACATAAAAGGAGACTAAATAAACAGAGAGACACAGCATACCATGAAAGGATGTACATATAAGAATTTTGAAGCTTGGGGAATACAAGGTGAAGGAGACATTCATAGCGTCTGGTACTGGGATGTGGAGGCTGATTGAAATTGGCAGCTGTGGTGGGGGTTCCCCAGACCCCCTCAGGTTCAGTGATTTTCTAGAAGACTCACAGAACTCAGTAAAGCTGTTATGCACATGGTTATAGATTCAGTGCAGTGAAAGGATCAGCAAAGGAAGAGACCCACTGGGCAGAATGCAGGAGAGAGCAGGCTTGAGCCCCCAGCTGTCCTCTCCCAGTGGAGTCGTGTGGACAGTACTTACAAGCTTTGGTGTCCAGGGTCTGCATTGGGGTTGGTCACGTAGTGTGCGGCCCCGGCATAGTCGACTTTAGTGTATGAGTGCCCTGGGGCCGCTATAACAGAAGACCTCAAAATGGGTGGCTTCAACAACAGAAATTTATCCTCTCCCAGTTCTGGAGGCTAGAGGTCTGAGATCAAGGTGTCGGCAGGGCTGGTTCCTTCTGAGGCCGTGAGGGAGCATCTGTCCCACGCTCTCCCCCAGCCTCTGGTGGTGCTAGCATCTTTAGCATCCCTTGGCTTGTAGGCGCATCACCCCATCTCTGCCTTCATGTTCACAGGGCTTTCTCCCTGTGTGTGTGCCTACGTCCAAATTTCCCCTTTTTATAAGGACACCAGTCACTGGATTTAGGACCACTCTCATGACCTCATCTTAGTTTGATCATCTGCCAAGACCCTATTTCCAAATAAGCTCACATTCCCAGGTCCTAGGGGTTAGAACATCTTTTGGGGGGGCACAATTCAACCCATAACCTTAGTCTCCAGCCTCTCCAGAAGTCAAGCTGATACCACATGGCCCATGCCCCCCCCCCATCAACGCCACTGTAGCATAAACTCTCAGGCATGACCCAAGTCCCCAGGTAAACAAAGACGATCTTATCAGGCAGGACATTCCGAGAGCTTAGAGGCTCCCTCCCGGGAGCTGGTCAAGGGCCAGACTTTCTTTGAAACGTGCAGGGTTTGGTCAACTCAGACCTCTGTGTTAACCCTTTACTGCCTGGCAACTGTCGCTGAAGTCGAGACCTCAGAAGGAGGGGCCGGTGTGGGGAGGAAGAGGAGGAGAATGTCCACCAGGCAGCTAGAAACCCGAGGATGCAAGGACCCGACCCTTTGGTTTATGAGTCAGCATGGCCCCAAATCAAGTCAGAAGTGTTAGCAACGTCCCCACCTGGTCCCCACCCCTTGGCCGTTAACCATATGGCAAATGTAATATGGCAAAGTGATGGTCCACATACGCTCGAGGCAGGGAAAGGGTCCTGGAGGGAGACAGGTGCCTGCGACCTTGGGTGTTTGACCTCTGTCGGGCAGCTGGAGATGCTGAAGAGGGAGGGACAGGAGATCCCGAAGGAGTCAGCAAAGCCAGGTGTGGGACCCTGTGTGTGTCTTTGAACGTGGGGGCCCTGGGGGGTGACAGACTGGGAGCAGACGTGCTGGGAGTGCGGCCGAGGTCCAGCCTTTCTGGGGGCCTGGTTGGCCACCTCTGTCTTGCAGACTGCGGTTTGCAGCCCGGCTGGAGGACAGCGGGCAGGATCGTGGGCGGCGTGGAAGCGTCCCCAGGGGAGTTCCCGTGGCAAGTCAGCCTCCGAGAAAACGGCGAGCACTTCTGCGGGGCCACTGTCGTCGGGGCCAGGTGGCTGGTGTCGGCCGCCCACTGCTTCAACGAGTGAGCCCCACCCCATCCCCACGTCCCACCTCCTCTTCCACTCTGGGACGCCACCTTTCCTGGTGTCCCCAGGCCCCTTGGAATTCTTTCTTTCTTCCTGTCTTTTCATTCTCTTTTTCTTTGTTGAATCTGAATACATTAATTTTTTTTTAATTTTGGTAAAATATACATAACATAAATTTACCATTTTAACCATTACAATTCAGTGGCATTAAGCACATTCACATGGTTGTGCGACCATCCCCACCATCCATCTCCAGAACTTTCCATCTTCCCAAACTGAGACTCTGTCCCTGTGAAACACTGACTCCCATCCCTCCCCCAGCCCCTGGCCCCACCATCCACTTTCTGTCTCTGTGGATGTGACTCCTCTAGGGGCCTCCTGTGAGGGGATCACACAGTGTCTGTCCTTCTGTGTCTGGCTCATGTCACTGAGTGTCATGTCTTCAGGGTCCATCCACGTTGGAGCAGGTGTCAGAATCTCCTTCCTTTTCATGGCTGAGTAATATTCCAGTGTGTAGATGGACCACATCGTGTTTATCCATCATCCGTCCAGGGACACTCGGGGTGTTTCCCCCTTTTTGGCTACTGTGAATAATGCTGCTGTGAACATGAGTGTGCAAATATCTGTTTGAGTCCCTGTTTTCAGTTCTATGGGGTATATACCTAGGAGTGGAATTGCTGGATCATTCGGTAATTCTATGTTTAATTTTTTTGAGGAATCCCCATCCTGTTTCCCACGGTGGCTGCACCATCTTACATTCCCACCAGCAAAGCACAAGGGTCCCAATTTCTCCACATCCTCACCAACACCTGTGATTACTTGTCTTTTTGACTATAGCCATCCCAGGGGGTGTGAGGTGGTGTCTCCCCGAGGTTTTGATGGGCGTGTCCCTGACGATTCGTGATGTTGAGAATCTTTTCCTGGGCTTCTTGGCCATTCATATATCTTCTTTGGAGAAATGTCTGTTCAGGTCCTTTGCCCATTTTTAATTGGGCTGTTTTTTGTTGTTGTTGAGGATGGTCAGAATCTTTTTAACAACCAGAGTGGCCAATCAGAATGGAGCTGGCCAAAAGGCAGGAGAAGGTTCTAGAAGCTTCTGGCAGTGCCAGACATTGCTATCTAGTTGTTGCCATCTGAGGACTCCTGGGGAAGAGGGCAGGGCCACAGGAAGCCTGGGCTCTCCAGGGAGACCACAGCCTACGAATTACCCCGTGGGTCAATTTTTTATTTTGTGCTGAGGAAGACTGGCCCTGGGCTAACATCCGTGCCCATCTTCCTCTACTTTATATGGGACGCCGCCACAGCATGGCTCAACAAGCAGTGCATTGGTACGCACCTGGGATCCGAACCTGTGAACCCCGGGCCGCCGAAGAGGAGTGCACGCACTTAACCGCCGCACCACCGGGCTGGCCCCTGCGTTTTTACATATATTTTTTTGCCAAACCATTTGAAATTAAGTGGAAAACATCACGACATCACCTCTTAATCTCCTATACACACTCGTCCCAGAAAGAACACTCACGTACCCATAATACCATTATCGCACCCAAGGAAATTTTTAAAAATTGTGCAACGTCCTCTGGTATTCAATCCATGTTCATTTTTCCCCAGTTGTCCCACGAGTGTCTCTTAGGGCTGTTTTTGCTTTTTCTTTTTCTTTCTTCCTTATTCTGGTAAAATAGACATAAAATTTACCATTTTAACCATTTTTAAGGCAGTAACAGTTTTGACCTTGAGCTGAGAAGGGGAATTCGGGAAAGGCCTTCGAGAGAGGGGGCGTGCTGAGGGCAGAGGGGACTGAGCCGCGGGGCTGGGGTGTTTGCAGGGCTGGGGTGAGAAACGGCACCCACCGCCCGGGAACTGCCGAGGGCCGTGTGGCCAGAGACGTGGAGGCCCTGGGCTCTGCTGGGAAGCGTGTTGTCCCATTAACTGGGTGCGGGATCCGAGAGGCACGTCCACCGCAGGCCCAGGTTTAGGGTGAGGAGAGCGAGGCATCCACCACGGGCAAAGATGTAAGGGGCCGCCCGCAACACCCCATCCTCGAGACAAGGCATATTTTCATGCCACGTTGTAAAAAATCCAAATGAATGCAAAATAAAATCCACGATGAACAGATATCCGATCTTAGAGGGAAGACTGGATGGGACAGGACCGGGCTCCGGGGAAGGGGAGGGAGGTGAGTTGAGCCACTGCCCGTGGGATCCCGGGTTTATGTAAAATGCCGCTATAGTGTTCATCGTGGATTTTTTTGCATCCACTGAGATGTTTTACAGCTCGGCACGAACATACGATTTCTCACAATGATGGCGCTTTTTGGCGCCCACTTGACACCCTAGTCCCAGCCCTGTCGGATCCTGTCTGTCTTTAAAATGTTGACAATCCGTGCACCGTGGATTTTTATTGTTTTGCATTCATTTTGACTGTTGACAATGCTGCATGACAACAGTTCAGTCTGGATGACTTAAGTTTTGGGGGGCGCCCCCTTAACATTTTGCGCCCCCACCCCGTGGGCCTCTGAGCTGTGGTTTGCTTGCCCCGCAGATTCCAAGACCCCACCGAATGGGTGGCCTACGCGGGCATGACCCGCCTCAGCGGCTCGGAGGCCAGCACGGTGCGGGCCCGCGTGGCCCGGATTCTCAGGCACCCCCTCTACAACCCCGACACGGCCGACTTCGACGTGGCGGTGCTCCAGCTGGGCCGCCCCCTGCCCTTCAGCAGGCACGTGCAGCCTGTGTGCCTCCCGGCCACCACGCACGTCTTCCCGCCCAGGAAGAAGTGCCTGATCTCGGGCTGGGGCTACCTCAAGGAGGACTTCCGTAAGCGCCCACCTTCCCGCAGCCCGCCTGGAAATCCAGCACGACTCGGGCCCGCCTCATTATTCGCGGATTCCGCCCTCTGCGAATCCGCCTACTCGCGAAAATGTATCTGCAACCGCACACGGAGGCTCGTGGGAATTTTAATTTGCAGCCGTGCGCAGAGGGGCACACGTTTCCAGCTGAGGTGGAACAAGGAGACGCTCGGCCTTCTTGTTCCTGCTCAGACTCTAAAGCAGTGTCCTCTCGGTGGTACATTTTCTGCCACGGTTTTTGCATTTTTGTGCTTTTGTGGGTCATGTTGCTGTGTGAAATGTCCCACTCGCGGAGTCCTGAAGCGCTAGCTAGGGTTCTTAAGTGAAAGAAGGCTGGGATGTGTCTTAGGAAAAAACACCTGTTAGATGAGCCTGGTTCAGGCATGAGTTACAGGCTGTGAGGTCAGCGTGGGTGAATCAACGATATGTATTAAATAAGGCGTCTTCAAACAGAGACACACAGAACACAGGGCTGTGTGTTGATCCGTTGGCGAAAATGTTGTGACGGGAGGCCCCCAGCACCCCACCCCTGCATTCCCCCAGGAGCAGTGATTCGGTGTTTGCTAATTCAGTGTTTGTGGCGACTTTACAGAACTGCCTCAAATAATGAGAATCGACTGTAACTTGATGCTTTTCATCTGTGGCGTCCGCTACGGGAGCCGCCAGGCCCGGTGCGGCTGAGAAACTGAGTTTTACATTTTATTTCATTTTAATGAATTTAAATCTGCACCTAAAAGGCCACGTGGGGCCGGTGGCTGCTGTACCTGACGGTGCGATTGTAGGGGAGGCGGATACTAAACAAGATAAGTGATAGTCATGAATGCAAGGGAGAAAAATAAGGCAGAGAAGGGGAGAGAGTCGGGGAGGGCTGAAAGTTTAAATAGGGAAGGCAGAAGAGGCCTGCTTGAGGAAGGAGATGAAGGAGGAAGGCAGGTGGATTCTGCAGGGATGAGCGTTCTAGCAGCTGGAACAGCGTGTGCAAAGGCCCTGGGGTAGGTGGTCCTGACTTGGGCTTTTAGATTCCAGCAGAGAGGGACAGAAGCAGGTAAGGGGGGACCCAGGGCAGAGAAGGTTTGGAGCGGGTGATGAGGAGCCCAGTCGCAGGGTGTTAACTTTGACACCTCTTAGCTCTCCAGCCGAGAGGGTGATCAGTGGTCACTTTGCTAATTTCTGAGCTGGGTGTGGCAGCAGCTCTGGCTGCGGCTGGGGAAACTAAGGCTTAGAGAGGAGACGTCCTTCAGCCTCCCGGCTTGAGGTGGCTGCCTGGGGCCCTGAAACGCTCCCCCACCCGTCTCTCCCCGCCCCGGGCAGTGGTGAAGCCCGAGACGCTGCAGAAGGCCGCTGTGGAGCTGCTGGACCAGGCCCTGTGCGCCAGCCTCTACGGCCACTCGCTCACCGAGCGGATGCTGTGCGCCGGCTACCTGGACGGGAAGGTGGATTCCTGCCAGGTGAGCCCGGAGCCCCCAGACCACGCCCCGCCCGCCAAGGCCGCCCGGGAAAGGCCCCGGGTTTCCACCCCGTGGTCCCTTCTCCCAGGAGGGGAAGTCCTCGAAGTTTCTGGTTCACCACGGAGACTTCTCCTGCTCGCTGTTTAGCGAGGCTACGAATTTCCTTCTTTTAGTTTCTGTCTTTGCTCTGAGGCCAGGGGGGTGGGGAGAGACTGCTGCATGAGCTCAGGTTGCCATATCAAAACCAGAACCTGGAGAAAATGTGAGGAAATAGTAATAGCGAGCTTGTGTTTAAGAATGTAACAGTCAAGGTGAGTTGGATGTGAGAAGCAGGCAAAGGACAGAAGACAGGACGAGCGGGGGCAGATCAGGCCCCTAGGGGGGATGCTACAGCTGCCGGTGAGATGTCTGGGGCTCCGGCAGGGTAGTCATCCTGTCAGCCTAAGCAAGTGGTGACATTATCGAAGGTCTACTGGGATAAGGAGGGGAGGGGATGCTGTTTATTTGGGTTGGCTTTTAAACTGCCAGTGGTAGAACTAAAAGTAGCCTTAGAGATCCCATCGTCCAACTGTCCTATTTGATTTTTACAGAAGAGGAAACTGAGGTTCTGAGATGGGGATCATCAGCCCGCATTGACTCTGTGAGCTCATGGGGAGGGAGGTCCCCGTCCGGGGCTCCTTCTCTGGGATTTGGACTGGCTGTTGCCGGGACCCCTCATGAGGGTGTGCCTTTGTCTCCTAGGGCGACTCCGGAGGCCCCCTGGTCTGCAAAGAGCCCTCCGGAAGGTTCTTCCTGGCTGGCATCGTGAGCTGGGGGATCGGGTGTGCAGAAGCCCGGCGGCCGGGGGTCTACGCCCGCGTGACCAGGCTGCGCGACTGGATCCTGGAGGCCATCGCCACGGGGAGCAGGCCTCCGGCCCCCACGGTGGCTCCTGCCCCCACCACCTCCAGCACTGCCTGGTCCACCAGCCCCGAGAGCCAGGGGGTCGACACCCCCACCCAGCCCACACTGGCCCCCAGCACTGCGCCTCCAGACTCCGTCACCATCTCTAAGCCACAAGGTATTCTGGGGAGACAGGCAGGAGGAGGTGTCTGCTCCCTGCAGGGTTGGATCGCTTGGCACTGGCTTTCTGTGGGGAAGAGATGGGTGATCGATTAGTGATGTCTGTCACGAGCACAGGCGGAGACACACCGGCCAGCCTTCACATTTGCTGTGTGGTTAAGTGAAGCAGCCCCGGGGGTAAACACAGAATATCCTGAGGGGTCCACAAGAGGCTAGAGACCCTGCCTGTGGGACCCCCGTCCTGGGCTCCATCCCACAGTGTGGGAGAGAGACCTTCCCAACACGCCGTCCACATAAGCACACGTTACATTTTAATATCTGAGAACCGTCGTTTCTCTTTTTTTCAAACATTTCCTAGACACGTTGGCATACTTCTCTTCCCGTATGAAGGGTAAAATCAGCTTATCTGGTTTTTTACTTTTATTGTTAATTGTGATGACAAACACATAACATAAAATCGACCATCTTAAACATTTTCGAGGGCCCAGCTCAGTCGCATTAAGAACAGTTGCCTTCTTGGCCCCGGGAAGCCGCCTTAATTTAGGACCTGGGTGCAGAGCTCCCGATGAGGGCTTTCTGGACACGACAGTCTCCATCCGTCTTACTCTGTGGCTTCCGAGGGCCCGGCTCCCGTCCCAGCCCGGATCTGATATTGATCCCCCTCTGTGGTCCCGCAGACCTGAAATGCTCTGAGCCAGTCGAAACCGTGCTTCATTTCAACCACCCCCAAGTCCCATAATAACGCGACTCGTGCTCTGTTTGGGGAGCTGCCCTGTGGTTCTCCGGGTGTGCGGCCCCCTCGTCGCAGAGCCCGTGAACGTGACCTCGTGGGCTATGGGTCCGTGTCTCGTGGGCCAGGGAACTCGAGGTTTATCTTCTGCTTTATGACCTTTATCCCCCAGTGGAGCCACGTACTTGCTGTGAGACCTCAGGACGCCTTTAAGCCTCAGTTTCTTCATCTGTATAATGGGGATGATCGGGCCCTGGAACCGGGGTGCCTCCACTCTGAGCAGCCTGAGATGCCCAGACCCTCCCCTTTGGTCCCCTCACAGAGTGCGGGGCCAGGCCGGCGATGGAGAAGCCCAACCGGATCGTGGGTGGCTTCGGGGCGACCTCTGGGGAGGTGCCCTGGCAGGTCAGCCTGAAGGAGGGTTCCCGGCACTTCTGCGGAGCCACCGTGGTGGGGGACCGCTGGCTGCTGTCGGCCGCCCACTGCTTCAACCAGTAAGACCCGCCTGCCCCGGGGGCTGTGCGGCTCCCACCTCATCGCCAGGCCCCCGTCCCATCCCCGTGCCCTCAGAACCTGCTCACGGCCCAGCCTGTGCCCGTCTGTGCATGGGGTGGCCACGCAGAGGCGGCCTGTCCCCCGGGGCTCACAGGCTGGGGGTCTGATGTCCAGTTGCAAAGGAGGGGGGAGCAGGAAGAAGCCAGGGCTCTGGGGAGCCATCTTGTGGGCCCAGGCCAGGGCTGTGGCTTTTGGGAGGAGAATCCGTTGAGCTGGTCTTTGGGGGACAGTTGGGGCCACCCAGGGAGGGGAGAGGGCTCCTTGCTCCAGAGCCAGAAGGCCTGGACCTTTGATGGTCATAAAGACTTCAGGGCCCCTCCTGCTGCTGGGCCAACCCCCTCTTGTTACAGACGAAGGGAATGCGGCCCAAAGGGGCTCCCCCAGCCCGGGACTGCTTTTGGGGTGCAGCCGTGTGGCCCCTCCCTCCCTGGGCCCTGCAGCTCTGCCCGGCTTCCGGGGGCAGCAGGGGGGGTCTAAGTGGCCTCTTGTCGGCAGGACAAAGGTGGAGCAGGTGTGGGCCCACCTGGGCACCGCGTCCCTTGTGGGCGTGGGTGGGACCCCCGTGAAGATGGGGCTCAAGAGGGCAGTGCTGCACCCCCAGTACGACCCCGGCCTCCTGGACTTTGACGTGGCCGTCCTGGAGCTGGCGGGGCCCCTCGTCTTCAACCAGTACGTCCAGCCCGTCTGCCTGCCCCTGGCCATCCAGAAGTTTCCCGTGGGCCGCAAGTGCATGATCTCCGGATGGGGCAACACGCAGGAGGGAAACGGTGAGCCCCCACCGCCTGCGAGCCGTGCGCCTCTCCCCGCTTCCAGGGGTCGCAAACTCAGGCCCCCGGGGCCCAGCGCACCTGCTTTTTATAAATAAAGTTTTATCGGCACACAACCATGCACACTCCTTTACAGACGGCCCGTGGCGGCTTTCCTGCTACGAGAGCAGAGCTGAGTAGTCTCGACAGAGACTGGCCATCAAGTCGAAAATATTTACACTGTGGCCCTTTATAGACGAAGTTTGGAGACCCTGGTGCTATACCCTTCAGAGCCCCCGAGACTTAATGCTTCCTTGAAACCTCAGAGTGGCCTCCCTGCAGGCACCCCAGGTGCTAGGGAATCGCGGGGCACAGTGGTGAGATTCTAGGGCCCCGAGTCGGGACTCTGGGGTCCCCCACCTTCTCGCCATGTGCCTTTATGCTGATCCCCACAAGGCCGTGAGCCTCGTGTCTTGTCTGTAGCACGGGGACGGTACCTCCCTCTGGGGGTTCTCGTCCGAGCTCAACTGGACACTGGACAGTGATGGCTCTGTAAGTGGCCTCGGGGGGGTCTCCTTTCCCTGGCAGCCACCAAGCCTGACACCCTGCAGCGGGCGTCTGTGGGCATCATGGACCAGAAGGCGTGCAGCGCGCTCTACAACTTTTCCCTCACGGACAGGATGATCTGCGCGGGCTTCCTGGAGGGCAAGGTCGACTCCTGCCAGGTGAGCATCCACAGGGGGACTGGGCAGTGTTTATGAAGTGCCCGCAGCCCTCCGCCCACAAGTCTGCTGGCACGGGTCTCGATTTCTGAAGCGCTCAACACGTACGCAAAGAGGGAAGGAAAGGATTTCAGTGCAGCGGAGTTTCAGCGGGAAAAGCCTGGGATGAGGGGCGGGGGTGTGTCGGTCTCTGTGCCCCCAGAGCTTGGCAGTGGAAAACCACCGTTGAGGGTGATCAGAGAGGTCGCGGTTGGGAATGCAGATGGGCTCAGCGGGGCTGGCTCGTCTATGCCACACAGCATCCGAGGCCTCGGCTGGGACGGTCAAAGGCTGGGGGTGACTCAGTGGCTGGCGGCCGGAATGATCTGGAGGCATCTCTCGTCACCCGTCTGCTGCCGGTTATGCGCTAGGATCCTGGCTGCACCCTCCACGTGGCCTCTCCCCGTGGTCTCCGCCCGGGCTCGCTGGGCTTCCTCACAACATGGCGGCCGGCTTCCAAGAGCAAGCAGCCCCAAGAAGGCCAGGCCGGAGCACGTGGCACTTTGACGACTTTTACGAAGCCGCCTGGCATTGCTGCCCCTGACTCTGTGGGTGAAGGAGGTCATGGAGGTTCGAGGGACAGACCCGTCCACCCAACAGGAGGGTCCTGGTGCTCAGAAAGCATGTAGGATGGGAGAGGTCGTCCCAGCCAGTCTTTGGGAAATACGATCTGCTACGTGGCCTAAGCTTTATGGTAACATTCTAAATTTTAAAAGAAATGTAACATATTACTGTTGCAATTCTTTGTACAGAAAAAAGACTGGCGGCTGAAGAGCAGTGGTGAATTCTAGGCGGTGGGAATATCCTTGAGGGTTATTTTTCTCTTTAGGCTTTTCTGTGCATCTCCAAAACAAAAGCAAGAACCATCAAGGCTCAGAGAAGTGACTTGCTCAAGGTCACTCAAAGTCACACGGCTAGACACGGGTCTGAAGCCAGGTCTCCAAGCCCCCGGACCCACTGTGGGGGTGCGGGAGAACCTGGCAGCACCCTCTGCAGAGGGAGTGCCGGGATGCTCACAGCCAGCCCTCTTCTCTTCTAGGGTGACTCTGGGGGTCCCCTGGCCTGCGAGGAGGCCCCCGGCGTGTTCTATCTGGCGGGGATCGTGAGCTGGGGCATCGGCTGTGCTCAGGCCAAGAAGCCCGGCGTGTACTCACGCATCACCCGGCTGAAGGGCTGGATCCTGGACACCATGTCCTCCCGGCCCGTCCCCACGCCTCCCCCCGCCACCACGAGGACGCCCGCCACCACCAGTCAGGCCCCCAGGACGACGGCCGGCCTCACAGCCCCGGGCGGCACGGCCAGCGGACCAACCCGCCCGGCCACCAGCAGGGCGACCAGCCAGCCTGCCATCCGGACCACCACCACCATGACCACCACCGCCAGGGGACAGACGCCACCTCCAAACGCCCCAGGGACCACCGTGGGCTCCCAGCTTCCAGGTACCAGGAGGGATGGAGCGACACTGGGTGGCAGGGGTCCTGTATCAGTCTGCCAGGCCACCGTCACCATGTCCCACAGCCTGGGGGCTTAAACAACAGACACTGGTTCTCTCCCAGTGCTGGGGGCTGGAGGTCCCAGGTGTGGGCAGGGCTGGTGCCCTCTGAGGCCTCTCTCCTTGGCGTGTAGACGGCCGTCTCCTCCCTGTGTCCCCACGTGGTCATCCCTCTGTGCCTATTCTTAAAGGACCCCAGTTATATTGGATCAGAGCCCACCCACATGACCTCATATCACCTTAATCCCCTCTTTAAAGACCCCGTCTCCAAATACAGTCACTTCTTGAGGTCCTGGGAGTTAGGGTTCCAACTTATGAATTTTGGGGGGACGCAAGTCAGCCCACAAGAGGTCCTGAGAGCCAGGGACACGGGCGCTGCCGGGGCAGACTCACGCTGTCTGGGGGCAAATGCCTTAGCCTGCAACCCCTGCCACTCCCACTTTAAAAAGGGCACTCTGCAGGGGCCCGGGGTGCAGCGGGAAGGCCCCGGCGGGGGGGTGTCCATTACGGGGTCACTCCATCCGCTCAGCCAGGTCAGAAGGCCCTCCTCTCATGGTGCCGAGCTCGGGGGCAGAGGGGAACCAGAGGCTTGAGACACACACAGAGTGATGGCAGGTAGTCAGGAGCAACAGGAAGACGAATACAGCAGGACAAGGCTGGGGCTCGGGGCCGCTGACCCCAGGCCCCCACCTGGGCCTGGGGGGTGTCCATATGTCTGGCCCAGCACACACAGCGCGGCCGTAATGGCCGAGAGCGACAGCGATGGAGAAGGTGCCTCTGATGTCTTTCCACTGGCGTGTAAAACGCTGAGTTCATTTTTATCATATACTCATCAGAACTCAGTGAAACCGCCAGATTGTAGATCAAAAATAAGGCCCCATCTCATGCAGGTAATTGCATACGGCGCACGCCTAGAAATAAGTTAGACGCTGTCGGCAATGTCCGGAGAGATACAGAGAAGACACTCTGGCTTCTGCGTCTCGTGGGGGGTGCCAGGCAGACCCTGTCTTAGGGAGCCCACCCACTCCCCATCCCCCCAGCCCCTGGGCTTGGCCTCGAGGGACCAAATGAAGCCCGAGCAGAACTCAGCGGAGAGGAAGATGAACGCAGGGTGGGTGGGGTCGGGGACCGGCAGCTGGGAAGCAGCAGGGTGGCGCTGGCCCCCACCCCCCAGCTTGCTCTGGGCCATGAGCCCCCGCCCCCGGCTCCGCTTCTCTGTGCACGCGCCTCCCTGAGCCCCCCACCGGCAGACACAAGCCTGATGCTCTCACATCACATTCCTGAGGACGATGTCTGGTCTGGCTTCATTCAGGTGGGGAGGCAGGGGACAGGGACAAGCATGTCCTGGAGACCCCCAAGGGGTCAAGTGCTCAGCACAGGGAGCTGCTGGTCTAGCAGGCGGCACCCACCGTCCTTCTTACTGTGGAGTTTCCCAGAATCCCCGTCTCCCAACATCCCTCCCGCGATTCCCCCAGGGGACTCTGACCCGGGACTTCTCTGTGCCTTTCCTCCTTCCTCAGGCTCCCCAGGTCCCCAGTGTCCTTCCGTCCAGGGCTGGGCAGGGGTGTGTGTCAGTGAACCCCACTACGGAGAAGGTGGGGGAATGGCTCATAATCCCACTGCCCCATCACAACCTCCGCGTGTCCCGAGGGCTGGTTTTTCCTTTCCCTGCACGTTTTTTGGTGTCCTGGCCCAGTCGGCCTGCGTCGCCCGGACGCAGACCCACACCCACCAAATCAGGTTTAGGGGCTTTCTGCAGCGGGGCAGCCCGCACACCGGAGGAACCAGACAAAGGAAGGGGCAGGTGTTTTGGGACCAGGGGCAGAGTGGGGTGGAGGGGACGCTGAAATGAAACAGTTGTGATCGGCTCAGAGCAAAGCAGACGGCGTGCCACGGCTCTGGCCACGGGTCTGGATGGCGAGGGGGACTCGGGTCCTGTGTCCTGGGAACCAGAGAGTTAAGGCAGAGGTGGCACGCCGAGTCCGGAACCCCCTCATCGGAAGCTCTGCACCTGGCTGGAAATCGAGGCCGGGGTTCTGGGACTTACACCCTCCAGGCCGGAGGGGGACCTCGCGTCCACACGGCTCTGCCCCCCACAGCACGGTTTCTGCCAGTCTGTGGCCGTGATGACAGAGGCGTCCAGCTGGGATGCTCCGGGGAGGGGGTGTTTCGGTACTCTGCGCCTGGCCTCCCAGCCTGATGATTTCTGCTTTTCCGATAGCTGCAGCCTGCGTGTTATTCACTTGGGGGCCAGGAGGTGGAGGAAGGCCCCAGAAACGGCAGCATTTTTCTGGTGGGGGTAGCGTCTCCAGGAGAGGGGCTGCGGGCTCCCCCAGATCCTCCAGGCCGCCTGGTCCTGGGCGAGGTCCATGTGGTGTCAGGAGTGTCAAGGCGGGGGGCTGGTAGGGAGCAGGGAAAGTGGTCTCTTGTCCCCGTTCTCTCCTTCCGGGTGGGGACACGGCCCTTCTGTTCCCTTCTCTGTGTTTGCCGAGACTGGGACAGGAGGGACCTTCTCAGACCTGCAGGGCAGGGAAGGGGGTGGCTCCCGAGGAGGAGCAGGCCTGTGGGAATCATCCCCCCGGGAACTCCAGTGCCCCCTGGGGTGGTAACGCTGGTCCCTGCTGCACCCCTTGAAACTACCGGTTTGTGTTTTCTACAGTTGTGTTCTGAGCATGCACCTTGTGCTGGGGGGCGGGCATCGCAGCCGGGAGGGAGTACCGGGGAAGGATACCGGGTCACACAGGACCCAGGTAAAGAGCAGCAGGGAAGGCATCCCAGCAGACAGGCTGGCACAGGAACTGGTGAGCCCAGGGTGTGCAAAGGCCCTGGGGCAGTAGGGAAGTCGGCTCCCAGGGGACTGAAAGCTACCTGGGGGCGGTGGTGGTGGTGGTAGGGGACACTGGCCTGACCCTAGCGCTGAGGTTATACAAAACAAACTTACATGCATTTCAAATATTATTTGAGAAAAGCCCAGAGGAGGCTCGTCCGTAGGACCAAGTGCCAATGTTTCTTCGTGCGGAGTTTTCGCGAGGCGGGTCCCCCACCCTCTCCTGGCACCTCCTCCCGGGCGCGCCCACGCGGGGCTGCGCAGAGGGGCGGCGCCCGGCGGGCTTCGCGGAGGAGGCACCGTCCGCCGGTCCGCCGACCTTCGCCCGGCTCCCCCGCAGACTGCGGCCTGGCGCCGGCGGCGGCGCTGACCAGGATCGTGGGCGGCAGCGCCGCGGGCCGCGGGGAGTGGCCGTGGCAGGTGAGCCTGTGGCTACGGCGCCGGGAGCACCGCTGCGGGGCCGTGCTGGTGGCCGAGAGGTGGCTGCTGTCGGCGGCGCACTGCTTCGACGTGTGAGTCCGGCCCGCCCCAAACGCCCGGGCCCGGTCTGTGCTTCCCGGACCGACTTGTGGCCCCAAAAACTCAGTGTCGCGCCTCTGCCCCGAATGCCCTCCCCCGCCACCGGCACCCACTGCCGCAGACCGTCCCCTCCTCCGTGCAGCCCTCCCATGCCCACCCCCCGCCCGGAGCCCGACCATGGCTCTGGGAGTGCCGAATCCAGCCCCGCGGCCCTCACCAAACCCGGGGGGCAGCAGCCTCTCCCAGCCGCGGGCCAGGCCTGCGGGCGACATCGGGTCTCCGGGGAACTGCGGGACACTTCCATCCCCGCCCCCCCCAAACTCGGACTTAGCGCCAGCCCCCAGAGGCCACCCAGTGGGGAGTCCCCTTCCTGGCAGGGCGCTCAGTAGGTGGACCAGGCGAGGGGCGCTGTCCTCCGTGGAGACACCAGCTCAGGGTGCACACTCCGCGCCCCGCGGTGGCGGGCTCGGAAAGGGTGGGCAAGCGGAGGGCCGGGGGGGGGGACTCTGGCCACCAGAGCCCTAATATGAGACAGAAATGAAGACAGCTTGTGGTGTCACCTCGCTGCCTGGTAGCCCGGCGGGGCGCATCCAGGGCGTGGGCTCCCCTCGCCCTCCCCGCTGTCCTTGGAGAGAGGGACGCCTCTTAGCCCCATTTCGCGATGAGCAACGCGCGGCCGAGAGCGGTCAAGGGCCCTGCCCAAGGTCCCCAACCGGCCGCTGGGGGCACAAGCGAGGCCGTGGACATAGCGGGGGCCGGGGGAGCCCCAGGCGGGCCGGGCCGGGGCGCGGGGACCCGGGCCGACGCCTGTCCCGCGCGCCCCGCAGCTACGGGGACCCCAAGCAGTGGGCGGCCTTCCTCGGCACGCCGTTCCTGAGCGGCGCCGACGGGCAGCTGGAGCGCGTGGCGCGCATCTACAAGCACCCCTTCTACAACCTCTACACGCTCGACTACGACGTGGCGCTGCTCGAGCTGGCGGGGCCCGTGCGCCGCAGCCGCCTGGTGCGCCCCATCTGCCTGCCCGAGCCCGCGCCGCGGCCCCCCGACGGCGCGCGCTGCGTCATCACGGGCTGGGGCTCGGTGCGCGAGGGAGGTAGGCGCGGTCGGGCCGGGAGCCCCGCGGGTTAGGAGTCTGGGGGCGTCGGGAAGGCCCCACCCGGGCCCCGCGGAGCGGTGGGGCCCCCACGGTGCAGGACGGGCGCGCGGCCCCACCGGCCCGTCTCGCCCGCAGGCTCGATGGCGCGGCAGCTGCAGAAGGCGGCCGTGCGCCTCCTCAGCGAGCAGACGTGTCGCCGCTTCTACCCCGTGCAGATCAGCAGCCGCATGCTGTGCGCCGGCTTCCCGCAGGGCGGCGTGGACAGCTGCTCGGTGAGCGCACTCTGCAACTGAAATGGGGGCTCCGCGGACCCCAGGTCCCACCCACCGGGGAGAGCGAGGCTCTCATCGCTCCAAAGCCCACCAGCCAGGCCCCACCCTCCGGGGCAAACTTCTCAAGCTCATCAAGCCGGGCACCTTTTCGGCCGTGGAGTTTTCGCTCCGTTTATTTGGCATCCATCAAGAGCCCATTTCCACTCCCCGCATCCTCCCCGGAGCCCTGGAGAGGTGGGGCGGGAGCAGGCTGGGCAGGGGCTGCAGTGTGAGATCTTTCCACCCCCGGACCACAGCGGTGGGTGTTCACGAACGTCAGCCCGCCAGATGGATGGGCCATCCTAGCACTGAACCCATTTCCCAGATAACAGTGAGGCTCACCAGGAAAGTGACACTGGGAGCCCAGGTGCCCCTCCTGTGGTGGCCGGTGACCCAGGGGTGTGATGGGGCCAGCCCTCCCTTGGCCCGAGGGCTGCTGTCTGGGCGGTCCTGGCCTGCTCTGAGTACCTTTCTTTTCTCCTCCTCAGGGTGACGCTGGGGGACCCCTGGCCTGCAGGGAGCCCTCCGGCCGGTGGGTGCTAACTGGGGTCACCAGCTGGGGTTATGGCTGCGGGCGGCCCCACTTCCCAGGTGTCTACACCCGGGTGGCTGCCGTGAGAGGCTGGATCGGGCAGAACATCCAGGAGTGACCACCACGTGGCTGCCCAGGCCTGGGACGAGGGATGTAAAGGCAGCAGGAGCCAGCTGGCCGCTTGGCCTGAGGAGGGGAGGCCAGGTGGTCACAGGGGTGGGGGAGCAGCGTGTAACACGACGCAGTGTTACTGCATATTTTGTTCCAATAAACACAGCCCTTGTCCCCAACCTGCTGGCTCCACAGCTCCATGTCGCAGCAAGGACCATGTGCCTGCCCATCGCCCCGGGGCCCAGAAGTGGGACGAAGGGTGGCAGGGGGAGGGCCACTCCCCTGGCCTTTGGGGCTGGGCGAGATCAGCCTCATCTTCGAGGCCCCTTGGGTGTCAACACATTCCCCGCCACCCAGGAGCACCCAGGAGAAAAGATAGGGGTGGGGGACCCAGGTGCGCGAGGCACCGTCTTCCAAGAGACCCCTGCAGGGAAGACGCACAGGGTGCTCTCCGCCCCCCTCGGCAATTTATTTGTCAGCCCCGGGAGGTCACAGCTCAGGTGGGGTCTGATCACGCCCTCCCGGGTCCCAACGCGGATTCTGTGCGCGGGCACGAGGTTGACCTGGGCACACTAGGAGCGGTGCCAGCACTTTGGGAAGTCCCAAGGCCCCCCGGAGACCCGGGCTGCGCGCGCTGGCAGGTGGGGGTGGGCGGCGGAGGGGGCAGCTTCCCCAGCGTCCCAGCACGGGTCTCGTCCTCGGAAACCTCATAAACCACGGGCAGGCAGTCCGCACACGCTAGCCCCGCCCAGCAAAGGGCATTTATGAAAACAGACGGGGAGGGGGCGCCTGTGGGCGGCCCGGTCACATGTTGGCTCGCTCCCGCTGCAGCCGCGAATTGTAGGCGCGGGACACGGTGTTCCAGGCGTCCATGTAGCGGTCCATGCACATGGCGATGCACTTCTGCAGGCGGGAAGGAGCGCGGCTCAGCTCGGGCCCGGGGCAGCGGATTGCGCACGCGCAGAGCCTTCCCTCCGCACCGCCCCTCGAGTCCGCGCACGCGCAGAAGCCGCCCTGCTAGTCCGCGCACGCGCAGAGGCCACGCCGCTACTCCGCGCACGCGCAGAGGCCACCCCGCCGGGTCCAGGGTCCAAGGTACTGGCCCACGGCCCCCGCCCGCCTGCCCCATGGATCTCACCTGCTCCGAATTGTCCAGGGAGCCCCCCGGCTTCCCGATGCACTTCCGGAAGCACTTGTCAGTCATCCTCTGTGGGGACACGCGAGCCCTCAGCCGCGACGCCGCCCCACCGGACCCACGCCGCCCCCGGCCCCCGCCCCCGGCCTTGGCCCCGGACCTGCAGCAGCTCCTGCGCGTTGGCCACGGCGATCTGCACCTTCACCTGCTCCATGATGAGCCCCGGGTCCAGCTTGCCGCCGCCGGAGCCCGCGAAGTCCGAGCCGAAGCTGCCCTCCATGGCTCCGCAAAGTCAACCGGACCCCGGCCGCGTGCGCCGACCCGTACCCGCGCCGGAAGTCGGCCGCCCGGGGGCACCACGGGAAATGGAGTCCAGCCGTGCCAGGACGGGGGGGGGGGTGACGGGGGGGACGGCCGGGACTACAGTTCCCACAAGGCCGCGCGGGCGGGAGCCGGCCGTTACCGGCGGAAGCCTGTTTCCCGAGGGGCGAAGAGGCTGAGCGGGGACTGGGAGCGTTCAGGTTCCGCCCCCGGCCCTCCCTGCCGCGCATGCGCAAGGGGCAGAGGGCGCGTCTACACTGCGCGTTCTGCCCGGGGCGGAGCCGGGAAGAGTCACGGCGTGTCATGCGGCCAAAAGCACAACGCGGCGTCCGAGGCGCCGGTAGAAAACGAACGCAGAAAACACGGGTGGCGGGTACCGTCAGGGAGTTAAGGAGTGGGGTCTGTCTACACTCGCCACTGAGATTTTTTTCTCTAGTGGGTAGGTCTTAGACACCCGCCTCATTAGGGGCTCCGGCAGCCCCGCGTCAGAGTACACTCAGAAGCAGAACTTAAAACCAAAATGTTTATTGAGTGTTGTACAAAAGGTTTCCAGTCATAAAATGTATATTACAAATCATCGGAGAAATAAAGACCACACGTTTGGCATGCATCGTAAAAACCAACCAATCTCTGAAATGAAGTCCAGACGGCGCAGCTGTTGACCCGACTCCGCTAGCGAGATGCCCTTGGGGGCACGGACTTAAGACCTTCCCAGTGGCCTTGCCCTCCTTGAGGAATGTCAGTCTCGTCTGGGCTGTGCTACTATAAATAGAACTCCCGGGCTACGTGCGCTGCCAACCACCCGAGTCGGAGGCCTCGCTGTTAGCAAAGGAGCTGAGAGAGCAAGTCCAGGTGAAGAGCCCTTAGTGTAGACCTGGGTGGTGTAGGCCTGGGGCGGCCTCCCCATCCCTGCATGCCCACAGGCAGGCCTCCCGCCTTGCCAGGGCTGGGCCGGAGTCCGGTTTTCCTCTAGGAAGGGTGCTGCCTGGAGTCACATGATAGGGGTGCAGACAAAAGAATCATTTCCGCATCATTTTAAGTGGCTTAAAGCTAAGCATGTTTCAGGGCTGGTGCAAACTGTTTCCCAGGCCACAGCGACATTTTAACATTGGGTTCTGCTCCATGTTTCCAAATACTTGATTACCAACCACCACCAAATCACCAACCTCCAGTCACCACCTGGCCACACACGCAGTCCAGTGTAGCCTACTCCCCACAGCCAAGGGCACCCCAGTGGCTGCCCAGGCCACCTCCCATTTCCACCCAAGACCTCAGCCAGGCCCACCTGGGGTGCGGTAAGGGGAGAACAGCCCCTATCTGAGCCTAGGGGCTCTGCTAGGCACTAGGGGGACATCTGGGCCTGTGGGGAGGGTGGGGCCCGCTCCCTTCCTTCCTGTCCCTGGACCCAGCCGGAAAGACAGCAAATCAGACCCAAATTCCAGGACACAGCTTTGATCCCCAGAGAGTCCCAAAATACACTGAGGAGTGTGGCCCAGACCAGCGCAGACTCCTGCATGTCTGGGGGCCAGCAAGCCCCACCCTCCCAGCGCCTCGTCCACACCCTCTGACCACACGGCTCCCCCTAGGCCAGGGCTCCCGCTAAGCCAGGGCGGGAAGGGGAGGCAGCCTGCAGCCTCAGGGGCCCGGGAAGCACTCCCAGGGGAGGTCCCACACCGGGCAGGATGGTGCATGGCCAGGGCAGGCCACCACAAATGGGGGGTGTCTGCACTTTCCGTGAGTTGTTTTGGTGACACATTTCCCTCCACAGAGAAAACACAGCCCATGGCCTGGAGACCATAGAAAGATCCGGACTGAAAGCAAGGGGCTTCTAGCAGGTTCTAGATACAGCAGCAGCAGCAGCAGTGTTTGTGTTGTCAGCCACTGGCACTTTCCCGGCCTCCAACCCTCCTCGCCATTAGGAATTCCCAAGCAAAGCCAGACACGTACAGGTGGGGCGGGCGTGCTGCCCAGGGCTAGCGTGACCCACGAGGGGCCAGTGCGGCTGCGCTGTACACGTCGCCTTCCAGGCAGCACGCCTCATGGCTCAGGGTTGCGTCTGTAAGACTTGAGCTGCACTTTCTGAAGGAGTTTGCCCTCTGGGGGCTCAGCTCACTGAGACAGGCCCCTGGATGCCAGCCCACCCCGGGGCACTGTCCTGGTGACCCTGGCATGAGCCCCTGGAGCGGGATCCTGGCAATCTGAGTACTGACCAATGTAAAAAAATAAATATCCGTTAAAAAAATAACTTCTGTGTATCTAAGCAGGAGGGTGGACACGGGAGGCTAACGCAGGAGGGTGGCCGGCGGCCAGGGCGGCTGTGTGGTGTGGAGCCGGCCCGCAGGAGGCAACGGGCGTGTCCCAGGGCCAGCACATCAGCAAGGTTAGACGGAAGCTAGGCTGTCAACAAACGCGTGAGGATCTACGTGGGAAACGGGGGCCAGTCTCAGCCCCGTGCACACGGCAGGGTGGGGAAACAGGGAGGGGCCCAGGGGCTTGCCGTGAAGTCACCTTCCTCCTGCCAGGAGGGCGGGAAGTGGTTGGCACACGTGGACATGGTTCTGAACCCCGAGGCGCTTGCTTCTGAGGTTATCAAAACTTGTCCCCTCACCATTTACCTGGCGACAAGTCTTAGAACGGAACTGTCCCCGTCCCCTAGGCTTCCTTCTCTCCTGCCCCACTGGTCCCGCAGGGTGAGGACCTCACCTACAGAAAGCTCCAGAAATGCAAGGCTCAGGCAGCCGGAAACGGCAGGAGGCGGCCCAGCCCAGAGCACCCCGATCCAAGAGGGCAGAAACCCCGCTGCTGCCCACCGCCAGAGCGGGAACTGCCCCCACCCCGGAGGGCCGGGTCGAGGTCAAACCCACCATTCCTCAGCGCTCCAATACCTCGTTTCCGGTTGGCTGAGCCACCAGAACTCGAGGCGGGTACGCCCCTGCCCCCCACCAGGTCGGAACCTGGATTCTGAATTTGGTTTTAAAAAAGCTTAATAAAACAAACCACTACTGGGGCCGGCCGGGTGGTGCAGGCGGTTAAGTGCGCACGATCCGCTGTGGCGGCCCAGGGTTCGCCGGTTTGGATCCCAGGCGCGCACCGAAGCACCGCTTGTCAGGCCATGCTGTGGCGGCGTCCCATATAAAGTGGAGGAAGATGGGCACGGATGTTGGCCCAGGGCCAGTCTCCCTCAGCAAAAAGAGGAGGATTGGCAGATGTTAAGTCAGGGCTGATCTTCCTCACACAAAAACAAAACAAACCACTACTATTGAATTCCTATGCAGCACCGCTCTCCATCACCTCAGGGCCCCAGGGGCAGCTCCTCCTCGCCCCAGCCCCGGGGGTCTGTGGTGGAGGCGGGGGCAGTGGGCAGCCCCCAGAGGTCAGCCCGACCCTCCAGCCGCCAAGCCCACTCTGCTAACCATGTGGTTCCTGGGCCTGGAATTCAACCAAATGGTGAAACAGGGCACCGGAAAAAGTCTCCTGAACAGTGATGATGAGCGGAGGGTCCGAGGAACCAACCCACAGGAAAGATCGACAGAGACCCACCCCCACGGCCTGGCAGTTTGCTTAAAAGTTCTCTAGAAATGTATCAAGGACTAAAGAGCGCCAATGATATAAAAATAGTTTTCAGTGGCTCTGGGTAAAGAAAGGTGTGGGATGAGGCGTGTTCATTCACATCACGCGGCAGCCTCGGGAGGTGGTCCTCGGGTCCCCCTGGAAGGAAGGACGGCAGCCGTTAACGAGCGGGGAGGCGGGGCGCACCCTCCTGGCTAGGCAGGTAGCTGGTGGTCCCCTGTCCCCGCCAGGGACCGGCTGGACCACGCCCAGGGCCTGAGCCACCTCAGGAAACTTAGCTCCTGGCAAGATGACAGGGCCAGCGGCTTCAGCCTCAACCGTCCCTGTTCCAGAACCTTCCATGTCTCTCGTACCTCTGTTCTGAGCTACACAACATGTCGGGTTTTTATGTTTCAGACAGCACACGTCTCACAACTTCTATCTGCTCCAATGTGGTTCCTGGGCTCTCCATCTTTTCCCCGAAAGCCATAACTTAAGTCACTAGTGTCTCACACTGGGGGGACTGTGGTATCAGAGCGTTCGCTGAGAACCCTCGGGGCTGCCCAGTGCCACTCAGCTTTCAACACCTTCCCGGGGGTCGCCGGGCCAGTACGCTGAGGTCCACATGACAGGCAAGACCCAGGAAGACAGGGAGAGCTGTCCCATGGCCCGTCTGTGGGAGGGGGAGGGAGGCCTGGGGGGACCAAGAACCGGCCACGGCCAGCCCTGCCCAGAGCTCTGGCAGCCCGCGTGGGCACGGTGCTGGGGGTGCGGCCAGCAGGGCCCATGGGAGTGTGTGCATGTTCCCGTGCATGTCCACATCTGCCGCCCCCGGGGCCTCTACCTGCTGATGGAAAAGGTCCTCCTCGCCGAACTCGGCTCCGTCCTCGTCTCCCTCCTCCCCGTTCTCGGCCTCCCGCACCACCGAGGACTGCTTCACGGTTCTCATGGCCACTTCCTGTGAGAGACAAGGGCCCAGCCCACGGGATGATGGTCCAGATGCCCGGACGGGCTGCTGAGCGACATCCTGGGGCTGGGACCGGGCCCAGGGCTGCACTTGCTGGCTTGCCAGCCAAGGCTCCACCCCAGGGCTCCCACACCGGCAAGTGGTGTGGCGTGGGCTGGACAAGGGGGCGCCCAGGAGGGATCTGGACAGAGGTGCCCCCACCCCGAGCGCCAGGCACGCACCTCCCCGTCGGCGTTGACCAGCACAGCCCGCAAGCTCTCGCCTGTGCCCCAGCTGCTCTGGCTTTTCCAGACGAGCGTTGAGGGGGGGCTGTGGGCCACCCCCGCACCAGCTGCCCACACCTGGGGACACAGGAGGGCCTCCCGTGAACACAGGCTCTGGTGCCAGTAGCATATACCACCAGCCAGTCCCGTACCACAGCCCCCCTCGGTGCCCCGGGTGTTTTTGTTGAATCCTCTCAGCTCTACTTGGTGTTGTCCAGGGATGACGGTCACCAGGGTATGGAGGGAGAGACTGAGAGTCACAGTGGCCCAGGGCTCTCGTCTCATCGGGCTGAGCCAGGATCTGAAGGCTGCTGGCTCCAGTGTCCATGCCCATGCTGTCACATCTCTTGCCGACACCTGCCAGCCTGGACAGCCTGGGCCCACACCGGCCTCCTCCGTGGGACCCTGGTATATCACTCAGGCCCTCCGAAGGGCTCCAGGGAACCACACAGGCACACAGGTGACCCACGACAGCAGAGGCTGTTCTCGAGGCTGGGTGCTGGACCCCCGCCCCCCCCCCCCCAAGCCACGTCCTGCTTCTCAAGGCCCCCACGCCCCATCCCAACCACCACTCACACCCTGTCACCTGTGTGGCGGGTGCTCTCCCCCTGCCCCCGCCAGCCCACTGCCCTTCCGCAGCCACCTACCGTGACCGTCTGGCCGGCCCGCAGCACGTACTTGGGCGTGAACTTGTAGGCAATCTCCTCCCCTTCTATGATCTGCCGCTTGATCCTCCAGTTCCCCAGAGATTGGTCCTGGCAGAGGGGACAGGCGCCTGACACACGGCTCTGGAGGACCCCGCGGCCGGGCCCTCCCCGCGGGCGGGGGCCCTTACCTTGTCCGAGCTGTTCTTCAGCCTCACGAACTTGCCCTCCAGGTCGATCTCCTCGATGCTGACGCTGCCCGAGGCCGAGGCCTGCTGGGCCAGGTGGAAGCTGCCGCTGCCGACGCCGATGCCGCTCGAGGCCGAGCCCAGCGCCTCCTCCGCCTCCAGCCGCTTCCGCTTGCTGCGGCCCGAGCGCCCGGCCGTGGACACGCTGCTGCCGCTCGACGCGGCCCGTGAGATGGTGACCCGCGACGACGGGCTGGGGGACAGCTTCAGCCTGGGGGCGGGGGGCGGGGTGACGCGGCGGGACCGGGACAGACAGGCCCTTCCCGGCCCCGCCCCTCCCCGCTCGACCCCGCCCCTCCCGACTCCGCCCTTCCCTCCGGCCCCGCCCCCTTGGCCCCGCCCCTCCTGCTCACCACCGGTCGGGACCCTCTGCCCGCAGGACCCACCCCTCATCCTGCCTGACCTCCACCCTGAGGAGCTGACCTCTCCTCCCGGCCCAGCCCCCTCCCCTCTCTTCCCCTTCTCTCGGCGCTCCCGCCCACCTCTCCTCCTCGCCCTCCAGGAGCTTGCGGTAGGCGCTGATCTCCATGTCCAGGGCCAGCTTGACGTCCAGCAGCTCCTGGTACTCGGCCAGCTGCTGCTGCATCACGTCCCGCATCTCCGTCATCTCGCGCTCCTTGGCGTCCAGCATCTTCCGGAACTTGTCCCGCTCCCCAGCCATGGTCTCCTCCAGCTCGCGGATCCGGTCCTCGGCGGCAGTCGCCTGCGGAGGGGCCACGCGGCCAGGTCAGGGTGGCCTCTGGGGGTCGTGGGCAGAAGCACCCTCCCGACTGCGGGCGTCTTCCTCCGGGTGGGCCAGGACAGAGACCGGGCCTGGGGGAGCCAGGGTCCAGCGGCCGGTCAGCCTGACAGCCCCACTCCGGGCACAGGAGGGCAGCAGCGGGCGCCTGCCCCTCGAGGCTGCATCTCCCGCCGGCCCCGGGTTGGAGGGGCGGAGGGGCCGGGGCTCAGAGTCACCTGCTTCTGGAGGCCGGAGAGCTGGTAGCTGAGGGACTCGACCCGCATGAGGGCCTCCTTCAGCTCCTCCCGGGCGGCGCTGGCAGCCTTGTCGTTCTGGTCAGAGAGCAGCTTGGCGTTGTCCAGCTGAGGGGACAGGGCAGACGGTGAGGGACCGGCGCCGGGAGGCTCCAAGGGGCCCGCCCTGCGCCCGGCCACCCGCGGCACCTTGGCCTGGTAGGTCTGCTCCAGCTCCAGCTTGTAGAGCCGCACTTGCTCGTCGTGCTGGGCGCGCAGCTCCTCCAGCGCCTGTGCCATCTTGAAGTCGTACTCCTGCTGCCGGCTGCTGTCCACCTCCACCAGGCGCCGCTCGTGCCGCCGCCGCGTCTCCCGCACCTCCTGGGGACAGACACACGAGCCGCTGGCCGAGGCGGACCGCCCCAGCCCTGCACCCACCCGTCCCGGTCACCAGTGTCCTCACCCCAAGCACAAGGCTCAGAACTGTGCAAACAATGAACCTCTGGGGAACCGCCCTGGTGACCTGTTCAGACTATCCCCTGCCACACATTTCACAGGGGACAATCCAGTCACCAAAGAGGGGACACAGCCCAAGTGTCCGTCCGTCAGTAGTGGAGGTATAAACACGTGTCCATCCACACACCGGAACACGACGCAGCCATGAAGAGGCCCTGACACAGCCACACCGTGGATGGACCCTGAACACACGACGCTCAGTGAGAGAACCAGACACAGAAGGACACACGGTGTGTGATCCCACGGACGTGAAGTGTCCAGAACAGGCGCATCCACAGACAGAATGTGGGTGCGTGGTTGCCAGGGGCTGGGGAGGGGGACGGGGGTGACTCCTGATAGGGATGGGATTTCTTTTGGGTTGACTGAGTATTCTGGAATTAAACAGAGGCAATGGCTACACAACACTGTGAATGAACTAAAGGCCATTAAATTAATTGTATGCTTTAAAATGGTCAACTTTATCTCAAAAAAATTGAGAACGATAAAAAACCAGGGGCCGGCCCCATGGGTTAGTGGTTAAGTGCACGCGCTCCGCTGCTGGTGGCCCGGGTTTGGATCCCAGGGGCGCACCGACGCACCACTTCTCCAGCCATGCTGAGACCGCGTCCCACATGCAGCAACTAGAAGGATGTGCAGCTATGACATACAACTATCTACTGGGGCTTTGGGGAGAAAACGGGAAAAAAAGGAGGAGGATTGGCAGATGTTAGCTCAGGGCTGATCTTCCTCACACACACACAAAAAAAGAAAAAAAGCAGAATGCTAATGGGTACAGGGTTTCTTTTTGGGGTGATGGAATGTTCTGGAACTAGAGGTGATGGCTGCAAATTCCGTGAATGTACTAAAAACTACTCTAAGCCATACACTTTGAAGGTGTTATGGTAGGGGAATATCTCAATAAGGCTGTTGTTTGAAAAAAAGAATTTCTGGTGGAGCCCTCCTCTGGTGCCTGAGGTCCGAGATACAGACACCAGCACTCAGGACAGCAGAGGGATGGGAGAGTGGCGCCCAGGCCACACATGTCACCAGCGAAGCTGCCCAGACGCACGGAGGGGTCCAGGGCAGGCAAGGGCAGACCAGCTCCAGGGGGAGGGAAGTTCCACTCTATTCTACGAAACCTGCCCAGCTCGGACGTGGTCACTCGCCACTGTCATTGGTTTGTAGGAACAACAGGAATGTCTCTCAAGGAAGCCAGTGCTGTTCACCAAAAGCCAATGGACCTCGAGAGCCCCCGACCAGCACACCCACCTGCACAGTGCCCCCCAGGGCTGCTCGCACGGCTCCACTCCAAGAGCTCCTCACGGCCCACCCCAGGGACCCCCTCCAGGAGGCCTTCCAGGGTGCCCTCCCAGCCCCCCTCCTCACGGTTCTCTTCAGGCCTTCCCTCAGGGGGGCCTTCAAGGGTCCCCTCACGGGTTCCCTCACAGGTGCAGTTTCAGGGTCCCCCACAGGTTCAGGTCCCCTCAAAGGTTCAGTTTCGGGGTCCCCCACGGGTTCCCTCGAAGGTTCGGGCCCCCTCTCAGCTCCCGTCCCGGCCTCGCCCCCGGCTGCCCTGGCGGCTCTGGCCCTTGCTGGGCCTGGCTGGAGCTGGACACTGCTCCTCCGCTGCATGGGCATCCTTCCCGCCCGCAGCTCTTCCCAGCAGTGACCGCAGGCACCGGCAGGCCCCCAGGGTTCCGTCTGGGCCGTGACAGCACAATGGGGTCTGTGATGATGAGGCAGGAGGGCCCCGAGGGGCCAGGCTCCCACGCCAGCCCCCCTCCCCAGGGCACAGAACCCCGGCTCTCCCACCAGGGACCCTCAGTCACTCCCAGCCAGGCCCGGCCATGCCAAGGAACTGAGGCCCAGAGATTAGGAGGCCGGGGGTGGGGAGCAGGTGGGCTCTACCCTCTCTGTGACGGTGGGTCTAGAGTAGGCCGAATTGTGGCCCCCAAAAAGGTGTCCACGTCCCAATCCCCAGAACCTGTGAAGGGGACCTTATCTGGAAACAGAGACCTTGCAGATGTAATTAAGGGTTTCAAGATGAGCTCATCCTGGTGGCCCAAACCCAGTGACAAGTGTCCTCGTAAGAGACACACGGAGGAGACAGGGAGGAGGGGCCACGTGACGAGGAAGGCCGAGATCAGAGTGACGCGGCCACAAGCCCCGGCGGCCCAGAGCCCCAGAAGCTGGGAGAGGCAGGGAGCCCCACCCCTGGGGCGTCGGGAGGGCGGGCGGCCCTGCGACTCCTGATCCCAGACCCTGCCCTCCCCAGCTGGAGGGGAGATTTCTGGTGGTTAAGTCCCGGCTTTGCTGTACTCTGTCACGGCAGCCCCGGGACGCTGGCCCACCCGCGTCAGGCGGAAGGCTGGCCCCCACGACCTACCTCCTCAAAGACGTTCTTCCGGAAGTCCAGCTCCTCCTGCAGGCTCTGGCAGCGGTTCTCCAGGTCCACGCGCATCAGCGTCTCCTTCTCCAGCTGCTTCTTGGCCACTGCGTGACCGTCCTCCGCCTGGGCGACACCGGACAATGAGCTGAGGCGACAGTCTGTCTACTGCCCCACGTGGCTCCTCGGGGCCAGGGGGTCCCCCTAAATACACAAACTCCAATGTGGGGTGTCAGCTGGGCGGGGGGCCTGCAGGCCGCTGGCATCCGCGCCCCAGGCTGCTCACCCTGGCAGGACGTCCCTCGGCCCCCCGGCCCCCAGCACGGGCCCAGGCCCAGCGGCACCGGGTCCCCGTCTGCAGACCGGGGCTGCCCGGGGCCTACCTTGGCCAGCTGGGCCCGGAGCTCAGCCACGTCGCCCTCGAGGCTGCGCTTGTCGCTGAGGGCGGCGCCCAGCTCTGCCTCACTCCGCTGGAACAGGGACTCCAGGTCCTTCACGCGGGCCTGGGCCACCACGAGCTCGCCCTCCCTCTTCTTGGAGCTGCAAGTCAAGAGCGGAAGGTAGCTAGGCGGGGACCGCAGGGGTGCGGGACAGGGAGCCCTCAGGCAGCCCCGGGACAAGGCCCCTCAGCCTCTGAGCCTCGGCCCTCGGGTGACAGAGCCTCGCCTGTTGCCTGTCGGCACAAGACAGGCTTCACTCTGCACCCTTGGGACCCCACCCACCGGCAAATACAAGCGCACACAAACAGCCCCAAGGTGTGGGTTTTCATGGCCTTTGCTGACATTTTTGGACACAGGAGGGATCACTGTGGGAGGGAGAACTCTGACTTTTTAAAAAAATTAACGTATAATTTATTAAACTTACAAATCACAACCTTGTTGAAAAGCTGATCCCGTTTGCAAACGTGAGCTATGTTCAGCGGGCTTACCTCGTATCCTAGTAGACAATTATCTCCAACATTAAATACTTAAGACGGAAAATAGATTCTTTACCACACAGCTGCTAACAGCGTGGACTTGGGGCTCTTGGATGGTTCTAAGGGTAACTCTCAATCTTCCTGGGGTTGAATGCTTACCCACCCGCCTCCAAGGAACTGACTGGCCATCCTCAGCAACGGTGGGGACGCCCAGGGTTCCTCCACTGGGCGCTGTGGACACTGGGGCCAGGTCACTCTCTATGGGGCTGTCCTGGCTGCTGTGGGGGGTTGAGCAGTATCTCTGGCCCCACCTACTCGATGCCAGGAGCACCCCCAATCCTGACAACCAGAACTGTCCCCAGACATGGCCCGGTGTCCCCAGGGGGCAGAATCACCCCAAGTGAGAGCCACTGGGGATGCCACATCGGCTTGCGTTAGTGGAGTGGCGTAAACACCAGTGACTTCAGCTGCACGGCTGCGCGTGTCAACAGCAGCCCTGGGGACCCAGAGCTTATCCAGGCTTGTCCGGACAGCCTCCACGAGGGCCCGGGGTCCCCGCAGCCCACGTCCCCGAGCCTCAGCCACACACAGGCCCGGTCCTTCAGCTCACAAGGGGGCTGCAAACCCCGCGTCCCTGAAGGGGACTTCAGGGCTTTGGAGAAGCTGGAGTCATCCGTTTGACAAAGCGTTCCTGAGTGCCAGCTTCGTGGAGAAGGCCATCCTCCCGGCAGAGACACATCTGGGGACAACCCCGCCTCGTGGGTGGAGGCGACAGTGAAATACGCTGCCTGTCAGATGTGACTCTAAGGACGGATGAGGCAAGGACGGGGGACAAGGAACGTGCGTGTGCCTGGAGGGACCCACACTTTTAAGTCACGTAGGCCCTGCGGGGCAGGGGGCCCTTGAAACAGAGACCTGAGGGCGGGGAGCCTGGGAACGAGCCGGGCCGCTCTTCCCAGGAGAAGAGCGTTCAGGGGGAGGAAAGAGAGGCACAGAGGCCCGGGGTGAGGCGAGCCCAGCAGAATCGAGACCAGCGACGAGGCCAGGGTGACAGGAGCGCAGGCGTCTGGAGATGTGGACAGTTTCTAAACCACTTTCCAAGTTTAGGGTTCTGCAGAAGCACATGGAATGGTCCAGAAAGCAGAGCACCAGTGGCCCTCACTGGCTTAAGCATCCGTTCCTTAAGAGCTTCAAGGTGCTCAAGCAGATGCCTCCCTGCGAGACGCAATCCCGGGAGGGTCAGGTGGGGAATCGGGCCTGTGGGTCAGGGCCCCCCCGGCCACCACCTTCTGTCAGCGCAGGGACGTGGCAATACGCTTGTCAGGACAGAGAAGCACTCGCTGTGGGCCGTGGGGGCTCGTCCCCCAGCAGGCGGGGCTGACCAGGAGCACCTGCTGTGGTGACCGCTGAGGGGAGACTGGGCAACGGGGCCTGGGCTGGGACGACAGCACGCCTTCCTTCAGCAGGAGGCCTTAAAGACACGACAGCCGCCGGCCCAGACGCGGGCAGTCCCACCCTCCAGTACCCCGGGCCTGGCGAGGACAGGACAGACGGGCCAGCTGGCCGCCGTCAGGAGGCACAGGCCGTCCTCCTCTGCTCCTCCGTCAACGAGCAGGCGACTACGCGTGCGGGTCTATGTCTGGGATCCCTGCTCCGCTCCAGCGGATCTGTTCCACGGAGGAAGCGTAAACGCACCTCACCCACTGGAAGACGCCAGGCTGAGAGGGCGACACACTGTGAGTCCAGCTCTAGGACATTCTGGAAAAGGCAAGGCTAGGGAGACAACACGGGATCTGTGGTTTCCAGGGGGTCAGGGGGCCAACAGGTGGAGCACAGGGGACTTTTAGGGCCGTGACACTACTCTGTATGACACTGTGACACTGGATACGTGTCATTACATATTTGTCCCGACCCACGGAAGGCACAACAGCAAGAGTGACCCCAGTGTCAACGGGGGACCTCAGTGAATGCTAATGTATCAGTGCTGGCTCCTCAATTGTCACAACGTAGCACACTCGTTAATGCAAGATGTTCACAGCAGGAGAAACTGGAAGGGGGTTCTGGAAACTGTACTCTCCACTCATTTTCCTGTAAACCCAAAACTACTCAAAAAAAAGATAGAAAAACTCCTGCCAACGTGAAGGTGTCTCTGTCAGCCGCTGGGACTATGAGTCGGCACTCAGGAACCAGCGTCCAAGCCTCAGTCCTGGTCACAGCTGAGCTCAGGGACTCTGGACGAGTCCCCAACCCCGTGCCTCAGTTTCCCCCTCTGTAAATGGAGGTGATGACAGTCGGCCCTGCTGGGGTCGCTGTGAGGACTAACGGGGATCATGTGTGACCCTGGTGTTACTCTCAGGCTCCTCTGTTACTTTAAATACTTGAGGTATTTAAATTATTACTTCTGCTATAACACCACCAGCATGTCCTCCAAATCTTCTGTGCGCTTTCCCTCAGAAGCAGGTGGGAGAACGTACTTTGCAAATAAGCAGAGAAAAGTCCCCAGCCCGAAAGTACACTAGGGTGGGCCCCCGAGAGGAGGCGCAGAGGGATGAGGGCCGCCTCGCCACACGGGGGGCAGCCTGACCGCCAGTGCTGCAGGGCAGAGGAGGGAGGCAGGGTCCTTGGGGAGGCCTGGCTCTGTGGCCTGGGGCCGTCCCTTCTCTCTGGGACAGGGTAGGCAAGCCCAGCCCCCTGAGCTACCAGGAGACTCAGTCCCGGGAGGGCTGCTGGGGTTTAAACTCCTCCTCGGGCCACAGTGGGGGGACACAGTGACGGACAGGGCAGGGAGAGGACCAGGCCAGAGGCCGGCCCCCACCCCTGCGGCTCCCGGAAGAGCTGCCCGAGTGGGGGCCCCCTGCTCAGACCTGAGCCCCCAAGGGTCCCTGGGTGTTTCTCAGAGCGGCCCCGCCACACACAGGGTGACAAGCCCTGCCCCAGCGCCCACCCGCCCTACACACACCCCCGGAGGGTTGCACACCCAGAATCCCACAGGCCACACGCCTACCTTTTGCTGGCCTCCTCCAGCTCGGCGTGCAGCTTCCCTATCTCGATCTGCAGCTGCGCCCGCTCCCGGGCCGTCTCGTCCAGCACTCTGCGGGCGTCCGCCAGCTCCGACTCGTACAGCGTCTTGATGCCGCTCACCTGGGGGACAGCGAGGCCCGGTGAGGGGAAGGCCCCTACCCCCCGACAGCGGGCGCTGCCGAGCTGCCTGCCGCGCGACACAAGCTCCTACGAGCCCCCTGGCTTCCCCGACCGGCTCAGCCCCCCCAACCCCGGGCGACCCCAGCCTGCCCGATCTGCCCATGTCACTTGTCCCCTGCCCGGGCCACACCAGTGCCTGGGCACACCACTGATACTTCCCATCAGTCTTCTTGTCCCCCCACGTCGAGGGGCACAGGGCCACACACAGGTGTTTACACATATGGAACCAAAGCAGGACAGAGACACCAGCTCACCCCGCCAGGACCGCCCAAGCCAAAAACACAGGAGGTAACAGGCAGTGAGGACGCAGAGACACGGACCCTCCACGCACGGCGGGTGGGGATGCAGCTGGGGCAGCCACTGTGGAAGACGGTCTGGCGGCTCCTCAGGTGGTTCAACAGAGTTTCCCTATGACCCAGTGGTCCCCCCGCTAGGTGTCGACCCAGGAGAAAGGAGAACATACATCCACACAAAACCCGTACACGCCTGCTCCCGGCAGCAGCATTCGTCACAGCCGGAAAGTGGAAACAACCCCAGGGTCCACCAACCCCCAAAGGGATCCACACAGCGTGTCCACCCACACATGGAATATGACGCAGCCATGAAGAGGAGTGAAGCCCTGCCACAGCCACACCATGGATGGACCCAGAACACACGATGCTCAGTGAGAGAACCAGACACAGAAGGACACACGGTGTGTGATTCCACTGATGTGAAATGTCCAGACCAGGCAGATCCACAGACAGAACGTGGGTTCCTGGTTGTCGGGGGCTGGAGAGGGGGTGGGGGTGACTGCTGATGGAGATGGGGCTTCTTTTGGAGTGATGGAATGTTCTGGAATTACTGGTGATGGCACACCTCTAAATATGTTAAAACTATTGAACCGTACAGTCTAACTGGGTGAACTGTATAAGATGGGAATTCCATCCTAACAAAGGTGCTACACTTCCTTCTCGTGCTGACAAAGAAGGCAGACAGGGTGGCCAGGAGAACCACTACCCGGGCAGCCGGCTGTGAAAGTCGCACCGTTTCCCATGAAGCTGCAGGAGACCCTCGAGTGTCTGTGCTCGGGGCTCGGCTCAAATGCTGAGATGTCACTCCCTCCCTCACAGGAAAGGCCCCTGACAGACCTGCTACGTGGTAGGGTAGCCACCATCCCGGTTTGCCCAGGACCCATCAGGGGGCTTCCCAGACATGGGACTTTTCAGTTCAAGCCAGAATGTCCCGGGCAAATCTGGAAGAGGTGGGATTGAACAGCCAGTCTGGGACTCCCACCCCCCCCTACACACACACCAGCCTGAGCCTGGATACCCCACCTCAGCCCAGCAGTTCCCAGTCATCTCATCCCACAGATGGGGCAGGATATGGGCTCCTAGCCCCATTTCAGGTAGGGAAACCGAGGCATCAAACAGTAAACTGCCCTCTCCTGACCTGCTAGGGGCCATTCTGAGATGGGGACACACGGTGGGGGGAGCAAGCT